CCACTTTTATTGAACTCCTCTTTTATATAAACCATAGGTCATGATGATTAAATAAAACAACAAATTTTCTTTGGCTGTGATATTTATTATCATTTACTATTATACTAAATTAGGTGTTTACATATATTTTACAAATTGTTAAAAATTATGTACAAACAAAATACCTATATTATAATTTCTACACGTGTATTCGATACTTATTTTACAATAGATTCAAGGCACATATTATGACTGTACACATAATCTATTAACAAAAATAAATCACTTATTAGATATTAACAAAATAATAATACAATATCGAATAATAGAACATACGTAGGTTCAAGTATTTTTTAAACTAACTTAGATATGGTTTTATTTGGGCATTAAGAAAAGACTATTATTTTCAGTTTCAATTGATCTACAACAAAAACAAACAAAATGTTAAAATTTATGCATTGCCAATATATTATTCTAATTTAAAATGTGACTATTAAAAACATAAAACTTTAGCGATTCACTACAAAGCTCTAATTTTTAAATATTGATGGATTAATAGACTAAGCTTAGCCTGGGTACCAGGAGGCACATTTACTAGCCCGAGAAGAAGCCTCAAAGGCTTTGTTTGGCCCAAAATCATTTTAAGGTGTCACAAAGATAGCAATTAAAACACACACAAAGCAGTGAAATTAAATAAGTTTCAAGAATGGTGGAACAACTTACCAGGACAAAGAAAGGCCAGAGAATTTTTAAAAGGATCATCACCAACACTCCACCGAGCATCTACTAAGCCAGAATATACAAAATGTTAGAGTACTGGAGGTCAACAGGGAATTGTAAGCTTAACATTTGCATAACATTGGCCCAACAGAAGAGACATTGCCAATTTTGTCAGAAAGAAAAGGAAAGGTCTATCAAGAGTGAGATTCTTCCTCACACTTGGAGAAGAAACAATAAGGACAATTTACACCGAAGTACTACTTCCTAGTCTATGAAGTCCACTAAAGTAGACCAAACTAAACATAGTACTCTGGCGAGAACAGAAAGCATTGGTTGATGTCAAACAAGATGGAGTGACACTACCGCAAAAGTACTATGGACAAAAAAGCTTATCTCAGGATTGCAACGTGCAAACTGCAAATATAGAAGAACCCTCCAACTTTGGATTGATCAAGGGTCGTTTAGAACCTTTACCAAGAGAATAGGCAAAACTGAGGAGAGATGTATCTACTGCCAGCAGGTAGATACGGGAAAACATACACTATTTTACTGCATAAAAACGACCTACGATAAAGGACAAATTGCAGTAGGAGTCCAGCTTACACCGAAAAACATTATCGATGAGGATGAGAACACATTTAACGCTATTATAGGCCTTATTAAAAAAAAACCTGAAAAGGAAGGGGAGGACGACGAAAGAAACAAATGTAAGTCGTAAATGACGGTTCCGACTGCGGGAGAGAGCACACAAAGAGGTGTTTGTTAGTGGATATTGAAATACGAGCCCAATACTACCCTTAAAAACCTCAGGGTGTGCGTAAATGCATTTTCTACCTCAAAAAAAAGGAAGTACTCTAATCAATGACTAAAGGATGTCCAAAATAGATACTGTCGTTAACAAATCTAAGTTTAATTATTGATGGACTGGATTGGTAGAAATAGTTTAGTAGTATTTAAAAATTTAATAAATAAGTTTAATTATAATAATTCTAAATGATATACTGTGTAGTTGGTGAATTGACCTTATTCAACAGATGGTTCAAATTTTTGATCATCCAAATATTATGGTACATTGGTTCTTGCAATTAGATATATTTTTTCGATAAGAAAGTGCAAAAGAAGAACATAAATTCAAAGATTTGTAATTTAAAAAAAAAAGAAGACTAACTTTGTATTGATTCTTTTTGTTGACAACACGATAAGATACAGGGTGATGCCATCTCATATTCATTGTAATTTCTTACTTTTACATGTTGTTAACTTAGAATATTTTATGAATATACTTTTTGCAGAAGACATTTTTCTTTATTATTATATATGAGGGGTATAGTTTCAAAGTGTACAATCTCCATATTTTATAAAAAATAAGATAGATGTCGCATTACATAGAATTTGTAACCCTGAATCGAAATAATTAATAATTTCTTTTCAATGAATTTTGATGGCAGCAAATTAGACTTAAATTCAAAACGTACAATCTCCGTTGACATTTAAGTTCCAAACTATATAATCTAAAATCCGATTTTAATACTCAAAGTGTACAAATTCCAATGGGTTTTTGTTGTTTGTTTTGAATTATTTCTAAGCATGCAAACTCCTGTAGAGACTTGTCAATAATATTTCGCGCTAAAACCAGTCTGATTGATTTTACGTTTCTAAAGTTAGTTGCATGTGATTCGTGAAGAAGAAAAGTTTATTTACTAGTTTTTCCAATTTTTCTCGAGTTTTTTAAAGTAATAATGAAGGTTTTCACTCCAGTAACCAGTAGTAAAGCAAGAAAAAGAAGGTATTACGCTGACGTGGAAAAGAACTCGGCAAAAAAAATTAGGTAAGTTTGATAGAAGGCTTTTGTATTCTGCAAAGATGGGTTTGTTTTAAATATAGTCCACATTCGCTTCCAATTTATCCGAAATGTGGACATAAAACTGGTGTTGTTTAATGGAGCTTACTGACAATGGGAGAAATTAGACACAGTAATCCATAATTTATAACTTTCAAAACTGTGCCTTATCCAATCTCTTCCAAAACGTGTCTTATCCTCAATAATGCCAAAGGTGATTTTAGTAAGCCGTTCCAAGGAGCGTCTTATCCTAAATCAACTTTGAGATACCCGCCTTTTTTTAACTAAATTTAGGTTTGTCCTCATTATCTTCCTAACACGACTTATTTTATTAGTTGGCCAACCTGGAGACAAATTTTGCACGACCCTAACCTACAAATTATTGTATTATTATTACAAAACGTATTAGTCGAGAAAGGTCTCTTTGTTGGATCTAAGTGAGATACTTCGAAATTTTTGTATTTGTAACAGTTAATTTGACAAATTGTGCGTTCCTGGTGTTTATTTAGTTTTAAAGGAACTAAACCAAAACAATAAAATACAAAAGTCGGATCCTGGAAAGATGAGGGCATGGCGAGGACACTTAAGTGAAATCCTGACAAGTGGTATAAAACTCAAGTTAATATATTAAGATGCAGTTTTGTTGAGATTCAAACATGTCTCAAAAAAGAATAAGTTGTATAGTGCTAAATTAAATTATGGCCACCCTGTACACCAGCAACTTTATATAAAAAGAATAATATACGAAAATGCTAGACTGTTGTTGTCTTTTTTCAGCCCTAAATTATTAAACATATCCGAATCGTTTTTAATTGAATATTCATTTTATTGGTCCCATTACGAATATTCAATTAAAGTTGCATATTCTTACTAAATAAAACGAGGGGTAAACCTCAGAGGGATCTAGGTACCAGGCTACGAAATTAAGAGGAATTTTAAGCTTTAAGTGTATTCCATCAACTGATTCGGATATTCTAATTGATTTTAATTGATAATTCTTGAAATCAAGATCTCAGTTATATAAAATGTCACGTCATATCACAAATTAAAAAATTATATTTTATTTTGTTTGGTTTCACCTACTAGACATAAATATTAATAGAGAATTAATAGAGAATTGATAAAGAATTGATAAAGAATTGATAAAGAATTAATAAAGAATTAATAGAGAATTAATTAATAGAGAATTGAATTGATAAAGAATTGATAAAGAATTAATAGAGAATTATTAGAGAATTAATAAAGAAATAATATAGAATCAATAGAAAATAAATAGAGAATTAATAAAAAATTAATAGGGAATTGATAGAGAAATAATAGGGAATTGATAGAGAAATAATAGGGAATTAATGGGAAGTTAATAGGGAATTAAGAGCAGGGACGGCTCGAGGCCAAAATTTTGGGGGTTCACAGTAGCAGAATATAGATCCCGGTGCAGATATAAGTAAAAACTGTCAGTGTTTTAGAAAGGTATATTATAACTTTCTAAAACACTCTCATACATCTGTACTGATACCTATATGTTATCACTGTGAACCCCCAAAATTTGGGCTAAGAGCCGCCACTGATTAATAGGGATTAATAGGAAATTAATATGGAATTAATAGGGAATCAAGAGCGTATTGTTAGGGAATTAATAGGGAATCAACAGCAAATTATTAGGTAGTTAATAATGAATTGTTAGAGAATGAATGGGAAACTGGAAATTACCGGAGATTTTTAGTAATTGACTTGGAATTGAGCTGATTTTTCGAGGAATTCAGTTTTTTACTAAATAAATTTCGGAAATTGGAAACTAAAGAAGTATTAGGTGTTAAAATTTAGACCAGCGGTTTACCCCTCGAAATAAACCAAGGTTAAGTATGTATGAATAACTAAACAATTATTTTTTTCTGTGTACAATTAATCTAAATACTTTTTTTTATTTAACTTTTACAATATTTACACATTTTATATACGTTTTATCAATCTCTGTGCATTATTTAATTCACCTACTAAATAATGTACATTTTACTCTCTACTAACTCTACATATCTTCATTCCAAAATTATTTTTATTTTATATTATAAATCACATTTTTTTTATAAACCTAACAATGAAACTATCCTACTGAGGTATTGTTAAAACGTTATAACGAAAAAAAATTACAATACCTAAATGTTAAGTGGAAAAATTTCCAAAAGCAATTAATCAATCGGCCCATTCCGATTAACCACTACCACCGCGAGCCGCCCCTGTGAATAACTGCCTTGAAATCTCACCACAGAGCGTTTCAAATAATCTGTACCGCTTAGAAAACTGTTTTATAATAATTGTTAGTATATAAAAAAAGGTTTCTAAACGGTACCGACTTTTTAAACCACCCCGTTTTTTTTTGGATTTATTTAATACTATCACAATATGTGATATATTTTTTTATTTAGAACCTAGACTCTAAACCTTGATCTTTAGAGCTCTCATACTAGGGCTTCAATCTCTTGAAACCAGCACCGTCTTGTCCCAATTTTAATTCTTCGTAGAGGGTTGGATTAACCTCGTGTTGCGCAGGCACGTGAAGAGACTCGTTTTTCCAACCGGGTCCACCTGAGGATGTAGAAACTGCTATACCGTTGGCGCTTCCGTTTGAAAGCTGGCTGGTTTCTGTGTCCCTTTGTGGAACCTACAAAAAAATAAAAATATAAATTTCAAATTCCAAAATCATTATGTACCTCGATCCTATAAATACTAGATCCGTAACATATACCCCTCAGCACTTGCGTGATAGATATTTCTAGATAGATATTTCTAGATAGATATTTCTAGATAGATATTTCTAGATAGATATTTCTAGATAGATATTTCTAGATAGATATTTCTAGATAGATATTTCTAGATAGATATTTCTAGATAGATATTTCTAGATAGATATTTCTAGATATATATTTCTAGATAGATATTTCTAGATAGGTATTTCTAGATAGATATTTCTAGATAGTTATTTTTAAATAGATACTTCCAGATAGACATTTCTAGATAGATATTTCTAGATAAATATTTCTAGATAAATATTTCTATATAGATATTTCTAGATAGGTAGATATTTATAAATAGATATTTCCAGATAGATATTTCTAATAATAGATGAGATGCTATCTTTTTCTAAAGATTAGTCCATTTTCATGTTGGAGACAAAAAAATAGACAAGAATATTTATTTATTAATGAAAATTATTAAACAATAAGTTACAGTAAAAATTTCAATACCTGTATATGATCCATATTAACTTCTCTCAAGTAACTAGGGTTCTCGAAGGCGATTCCGTTAGAATTCTTGATGCCGAGCATTTTCCTCGTCCTCATGAACCAAACGGCACCGGCAAATATCGCCGCCACGACAACCAGGGCTAAGACCACTGCTACGATGACTCCAACATGGCCATCGTGACCTTCCTGACTAGCGGCCGAGGTAATATACTTGTCGCTCATGGTGAATTTCAAAGGTTCAGTTAAAGTGGAGGTTCCTTTGCTATTTCCGGCTTTGACCATGACCGAGTAAGTTGAGCCAGCTGAAAAGAAAAGACATTGTTTTAAATACTTTCGAAAACATCAATGTTAAGTCTGCATAAATGGGATTTTTAAGTTTGGAAAAGTATTCTATATCTCTTAGAAGTTGATTGGTCTGATCTAGAAAACTTAAGGAGTCATATAATCGTTTTGAATATAGAAAATTTTCTTTTTGAACTATTTTACGCATCTGTGTTTGGTTGATTTAAAGATTCTTCCAAAATCGATGAGTTAATGTCTTAAGAGTTATTTTGGTTGATTAGATACTGTATATCCGAACTTTGATCAGGGTCAGTGTCATCTATATCTAGTGATAACATATTTCATCGCTAGGTTAGTATCATAATACCTATTCTTTGAATACGGTGAACCCATTTCATTTGGCTACAGCTGCGCAGCTACAGTAGTGGCATTTAAACTTCTGAATCGAGAGCCATAATAGAAGGCGATACATGAAATTGTCTTATTTTAAGGATATCACCAAAACTAGTTGCATTGGTATCATAGCTGTCTTGAATTTCATAAAAAGAGGATAGTTTTATATTAGTACAACATCTAAAAGGCCCAAATCTAGAAGGGTCACCTCGGAAGAAGAGATTGACCTAATGTCAGACACAGAAGTCAGATATGTCCGGTCGAACGAGAGCAAGGCTAAACAACCTGGTAAAATCTGGGCAAGATTTCATTGCTGCCAAATGAGGCATAATCAAGGAAAACTTTATCAGATCCCAAGTAAAGCCACCTCAAACTTCGACTACCGAGGCCAGCCAGGTCGAAAAAAAGGCCATAAAAAGCCAAGATCGGAAGGACATACTCCCCCTGCAGATTGGAAAGTGGAAAAGAAGGCCAAAATTAAAGGGGTAACCTTCAAAGAGGCCCTTGCCACCACAAAGATCGCAGTAGTGAGAACCGGCTTTCCAGAGGCACTTATGGAAATGGAGCAGCAAACAGCTGTCGAAGATTCAATCATAAGTGCCTACGAGAGGGCGACAGGTGCGTTTTGCCAAATGCACATACAGGCCGGGATATATTGTAGAACGTTGTACAGACAGCCTTAGTGCACAATGGTTAAAGGATGTGGTGCCCACGCTTAGGCCCTGGGAGGGCGCAACTATCATGGCTCGGCAGGACATCACATCTCAAAACCAAGGATATGTACAACGTACATAGCAGACGAGGGTGGAAAGAGGCTAGATGCCCAAAGAGTCCTTAACAGACCGAGGGTCAGCAACAACACCCTTAAAATCAACCTCTGGAAGGTTCTGACCCCAACTTCAATGGAGAAAGGCCAAACTTGGGCCATCTCCGTGGAAGAAGGGTTATATACGGAACTCCTGATGCTAGACATGTCACCATACTTTGGGATGGGACGTATAAAGTTCCGTCTCAAAGAAATGGAACATGAAAAAAAGGAGAGAAACAGGGCAAAACCGGTCCAAAAAGGCTCCAAAACAAAGCCAGTGGTGCAAAAGGTCAAGGCCAAAATGGGCCAAAAATTACCAGACTCCAGAAAGCCGCCCGCCCAAAGGACAAACGTCGCCAAGGGCAAAGAAGGCAAGAAGTTCGCCAAAGACCCCTCTGCCAAAAGTGGCGGAAGCCCTCTCAAAAGGCCACAAAGCCCCGAGTCGGTTCCCCCAATAGAGGTAGAGGAAGGTCCAAGGGCAGATCTCACGACGCCTTCAACGAGTCTCAGCGGGGCATAAAGGTCCTGCAGGCGAACGTCCAACATGCTAAGAGGGAAAGCCCACTCACGCGACATGTCGCACGCGACTGATCGCGCGCGGCAATACTTTTGTTGTTTTTAAATGACCACGCAACAGAACCGCGTTAATGGGCTTTGAGTCATTTAAAAACATAAAAAGTATTGCCGCGCGCGACTGATGTCGCGTGAGTGGGCTTTCCCTCTAAGGCAGCGACTGCCATAATATGTAGGACGTTCGACACAGAAGGCTTGGATATAGCCCTCCTGCAGGAAACTTGGCTTGTTTGTGGACAAGTCACGGGACTAAAACCGCAACAAGGTAAGCTATTGTACAGCAAAGGGAATGAAAAACCCCGTGCTTGTATAATCTTCAGCAACAGAGTTAATTGTACACTAATACCGGTGCAGGCACCGGTGATTTTGTTACAGCTATGCTATCAATCCAAACGGAGGAGGGAGAAAAGAGGTATGCTGTATGCTCCGCCTACTTCCCGGGAGAGGAGAGAATATGCCCACTAGCAATACCAGGCAGAATCATTGCCCATTGCGAGGAGCAGAAACTCAACCTCATAATAGGATGCGATGCGAATGCACACCATACGATCTGGGGAAGCACAAACATCAATCCAAGAGGTGAGTCACTATTACAATTCATTCTAGGTGAAGGGTTAGAAATTGCCAATAAAGGCAACAAACCAACTTTTGTCACTGCCAACCGAAAAGAAGTTCTAGATATGACCATGTGTTCGAGAGGCACAAATGACCAAATCAGGGACTGGTTTAGAAATCCGAGAGAGACGAATTTGAAAGGGTACGTAAAATCCCTCGAGGAGTTTCTCAAGGAGTTTCTCAAGGAGGAAACCACCAATGCACGAGAAACAAAAACACTCGAAAGGACATTAGTCTTGGTAAACAAGGCAGTTACTGTCCCGAAAAAGAGATATACCAAACGAGAAAAACAGTCTGGTGGAATAAACACCTAAATAGAGTGCATACCAATATGCATACCAGCCAGGAAAGTCACCATAATTAAAAATTATACGAGGATATATCAGTATATAACGAAACTGGTGCTATAACTTCTTTCAGAGGTAACATTTTATAACCCAAAAAATGAGACATGAAAGCCTTATATTTAATGTACTACCCCGCAAGTAGGCTTTGATTTAACTTTTGACATTTGTTACAAATTAATTATTGAATTATCAGTGTTTTGCGTACCCATCGAAAAATGAAAGTGGAGCAAAGATACGCGATAAAATTTTGTGTTCGATTGGGTAAAACACCAACTGAAACTTTTGAAATGATTAAAGGTGCATATCTAGATAATAGTTTATCACGATGTAGAGTGTTTGAGTGGCATAAAAAGTTTAAAGACTGTTGTGAATCAGTTGAAGATGAACCTCGTCCCGGTCGACCACAAACTGCGAGAAATGACACAAAAATTGCAGAAATTAACGACTTGATACAAAATGATCGCCGGATTGGTATAAAACGAATTTCTGACAATGTTAATTTGTCTTACGGTACCATTCAAAAAATTATTCATGAAGATTTAGAGTACCGGAAGATCGCGGCAAGATGGATTCCAAAAGTGATGACCGATGAACAAAAAGCGAATCGAGTGACAATTTGTCAGCAGTGGAAAAGGCAATTGCAACGTTACCCACAGTTTTTAAATAATGTGTTTACATGTGACGAAAGTTGGTTTTATCATTACGATCCTGAATTGAAGTCTCAAAGTATGCAATGGAAGCATAAAGGCAGCCCAAGACCGCAGAAGGCCAAAACTGCTAAAAGCGCTGGTAATGTGATGCACCTGATTTTTTTTTTATAAATTTGGCGTTATTTACGATCACATTGTACCTAGAGGACATACAGTAACACAGAAGTACTATTCTAATGTACTTCGAGGACCCTTAAAGGCAAAATTAAAGAAAAAAAGGCCGCTTTATCAGGACTTTGGCTGGACGCTGCATCACGACAATGCTCCGGCTCATAGATCAAAGATTTGTCAACGAACAATTGAAAAATTAGGGGTTGAAATTATAGTTCATCCCCCCTACTCTCCTGGCCTTGCTCCATGTGACTTCCATTTGTTTCCTGAAGTCAAAAAAGAATTGAGAGGTAGAAGATTTGAGTCGGATTTAGAGCTCAACAACGCTGTGATGGGTTACTAAACAGACTATCAAAAAATGGTTTCTCAGAAGTTTATGATAAGTGGATAAAGCGATGGAATAAGTGTATTCAACAGAATGGAAAGTACTTCGAAGGATAGTTGTTGAATTTTCTTAAATAAATGTTTCGTTGTTATACTATAGCACCAGTCTCGTTATTTTCTGATACATCCTCGTACAAGCTTAAAACTATCAAAACATTGTTTTAATTTCTTCAAAGAAAGACGTTCATAGTGAATATAAATTACCTTTAAGATTTTCGAATTTTATATGAGTAGTGGGCGTATCTTCTTTGTAGTTTTCTTTGCTATGTGGATCACTAGACTTGAGCATTACTCTATAAAGTTCGACTGTATGAGGATTTTTGTTCGGTGCATCCCAATTAATGTTAACACTATGCGAATCGATAAAGTCAACGTGTACGTTCTGTGGAGGACCTGGTAGCTTCTCCCTTAAAAGATTTATATTGTTAAAAAAAATCTAAAAAATGTAAATAGTAAGACAATAATACTCGAATTAATCCCATGGAAATATTTCTTTTTTACATCTATTTTTTTTAATTTAACTTTATTAAATATTTTGGAAATTTTTATAATTTTTGGAACTTTTTAAATTCTTTTAATTTTTTTAAATTTTTGAATTTCTCTTTAGTTTTTCTATTTCTTTATTAACTTTTTTAAATTTATTTTACTTATATTAATTTTTTTAAACTTTCAAATTTTTTATACATTTTTTAATTTTTTTTCTTTTAAATTTTTTATTTAAAACTTGTGTATATTTTTTAAAATTGTTGAAACTTTTATGTTTTTCAATTCTTTATTTTTTAACTAATTAATTTATATTTTTAATATTTATTTTGATTTTTAATTTTTTAAGTTTCCTAATTTTTTAATTTTTTTTTTAAATTAAATATAAGTATTTTTAAATATATTTTTTTATTAAAATCTAAAATTTTGTACTAACCTTCCTTCATGGAAACAACTAATAATCTGCTTTGTATATGACAGTATACAAGCTTTATTATTCAAAACTGGTTCTCCACGGCACCAATCTAAGCACCTTCTCGAAACATTTCTGTGAACGCAGCAACTTCTGTGATCAGATCCATCAGCGGCACATTTCATTAACTTTCCAAAATCGTTAATACATTCCAACTTGTCAATAACAGCATCGATGTCCAAATAGAACGAACATGCGTCCATACAAGGACTGGTAACGTTCTGTTCAATGCAGCATTGTGTTAAATTATTAGTAGATGCCAAATTTCTGATTCTAACTGAGACAGGTTGTGTTGCAGTACCGAAAACATTCTCTGCATGACAATAGTAGTCACCGACATCCATATCAGTGATCTGTTTAATTGTTAACTGCATCAGATACTTATGTTCTTCATCTCTGATCGGTTTGGTAATGATGTCGTATTTACCCCCTTGAATCACGGGCGTTCTGTCTTCGTGGTTCCTCCAGAAGATCATCTTCGGTTCTGGTTGGGCCTCTACTTTACACTCCAAGGTCACTGAATCGCCTAAGGTTGTCATCGTTATGCCACTGGCCTGGATGTGCGGGCCATCTGGAAATTAGTAAATATGTTGTTATGAAGGAAACATAAATTTGATGGGAATACGTACGACTTATAGTTATTTTCCTAGAAGCTTGCATGGGTGTGCCGTAACCATTATCAGCATAACACGAAATCTGGTCCATATCCTTGGTGACATTGTGTATGACTGTGACCATGTGCCTGGTGGTTTCTTGTCTGACGAGCCTTCCGCTAATGTATAATGAAATTGTAGGCATTGGAGTTCCCATGGCTATACACAGAATCGTCATGCTGCTACCTTCTATTACCAAATGCATCGGGTGAACAGTTGGTGGCTGTAAACGTTTTCGATATTTATTTTAAATAATATTTTAAATAGCTATTATATTATTATCAACATAAATTTATGTGGCAAATGGAGCTTCATCGTTTCAATCTTCCTACTTCTTGAAATTTAGAAACTGAAAAAATATTTTAGAAGACATTAAAATCCAGCATGGAAGAAACACAATTTCGACAGTTTGGATTTAGAAAGAAACATCATTGACTAAGTCCACCGAACAACGAACATCAAATTGTAATAATTGGCATTATTATTTGAAAAATATTATAAAGAATTTACCAAAAATTATAAAAAAAGTATTTTTAATGTTTTAAATTAAAAATGTAAAAGGAACACACGTATGGAAATAAAACAAACAATCAGATTATTACTCCAGTCAATGGCTTACATTGAATTAGGGAATTCAAGGTAGAACGTTGGGTATTCTAACAAGTATAACTATAACGTAAATTTTGGGTTTATATAGAGAGATTAGACGGAAAGAAAAGACTCGAGTGAGGACTGAGATCCAGACTCTCGCCGAAGGCGAGATCTCTTGTTTTCGGGACCCTAAGTCCCGAAACAAAGTAATATGTAATGTAAAGATTTTGTGCGAAACTATGGGTAATTATCTTTAACTTATTTTGTTTGAGATAATTGATTTACATATAAATCCCAATTTTACCCTTTTGTCCCGAATATTATATTTATCTTATACATATTTTTATTATTATATAATTAAAGTTTTCAGTGCTAATTTTAATTGTTAATAAGTCCAAACTATATATTTCAATAGGAATTTTATCTAGTTGTCATAAATCATGGGTGTTCTATTAAAAGTTTGGATATATTATCAAGTAGTGCTTTATTCCCTAAATATAATTTTATTCATTTATTATTGAGACTTTAAGGTCAATTTTGTATTTATTTTAAGTATATACATTTGTTAATGTATTAAGACTTATTATTAATCTCTCTTCACCTTTGCAAATTAGTGAGATATTCCAAGCATTTAAAAATCCTCGGCGTTTCTATTCCCTTAGGACTCAAACTAGTTGCCAAGATCCGCTGAACTATGCTATTAAGGGATAATTTTTGTTCTTTTAATTTAATTTTTTTATAATATTTAATTGCCACTGGTGAATAGATGTTTCTTCTGGACTCCAGGACCCTTTTGCTGGTGCCTTAATCCCTTAATAGTATAATAACAACAGTAGCTAAAGACCTATTAGAAGTTACAAATGGTCGGTTGTTACATTTGGTGACAAGCGGTGGTCCTTTAGGTAAGTTGTTCGTTACAAAATTGTATACTTACACATAAATTAAACATGTCAAATGCCATGATAATATACACAATTTTATTATTGGAATCATACATTACAAATAGAGCATTCAGAATAAAGCAGGAAGAAGTTAACAGGGAATTAAAAAAAAAATAAAAGCAGGAGTACCACAAGGAATTTTACTTGGACATGTCTTGTATCTACTACATACAGATCAATGACATTTCGGAACTAGATAATTATAATAAAATAGCCCCACCTTTGCAGATGATTTTGCAATCTTGGAAATGGAGAAATTTAAATAATTGATTAATAGATAAAATCCTTAAGGTGGCAGTTTAAATTTAACCTATTTAGACTTCTGAGCCGTTACATATCTAAGACACGAACCTCCTTTCGTAAGGTATTTTGCTCAAAACTATTTTCTCTACGTTCGGTCGCTAGGTGAATATAAGGTCAAAGCACTGAATTATAGAAACACATAAACAACGATGCCAGTTTTTATTCAAATTCCGATATACCGTCTTGTTGTTGTTAAAATCAAAATAGGTATGGTTGGTAAGGAACTATTTTAGAAAATGCAAATAATACTTATTATTTCAAAAACAATAACAAATAATAAGGGGATGGTCTCGAAAATACCTACTACATTTGTTTTTGTGCACAAGTTTTTAATTCGAACCGTAAGTATTGTAAAGGCTGACTTTGTTAAGGTAATAGGATTTTCTGAGTACCTACTTTCGTATGTTATTTTCAAAACATACGATCTACAAAAATTTTATAAAATATTTATGCAAGCCAAGTAGTAGTTTGAACAACAAGAATGGAGAAATAAAAATGACAAAATTGGGATACGAAGAAACCACCACAAACTGTATAGCATATTTTTTCTACCAATTTACAACATTTTAAAAAGTAATTTAAAGGTTATTAACATAAAATAACAATTTAAAACATATTTAACATAAAGATTTGAATTTCTAGATTTTATTAATTTATAAAATGAAATAAACTTGAAAAACACTAGGACATTTTGTACGAAAACTCATCTCTTAAACTTTCGCGATAACTTATCATTTATTTATCTTTAACATTTACACCTAAATAATAGGTATATGTCATTTTGTTATAATTTTACCAACATTATCGGTTACTTTAACTATTAACGATGAACATCTAACGAATTGTTACTATTTATCGATTCGTTAAAAGGATCACTCATTTTTAATAACATTTTATCCTAATAAAAAAAAAAAAAATAAGAAATTTTAAAATTAATTTGGAAGTTAAGATAAAATAAATATTTTAAAAATATTTTAATTAGTTCTCATTCCAGATTTGAAATTCGGGCCTTTCCCATGAAAACTCACTACTTTATCTCTGCACTAACGAGACAAACAACTCTTTTTTTAATACTGATACTTAGATTGGTTTCAGTGTTAATAAAATTTACGATTTATTTATAAATATGGATGAATATCTTGTGGAATGTGGAATGTATTTTTTTTATCGATTCTTTACAAAAACACACTTTAAATTATATTTATTTTCAATAACTAAAAATATAGTGACAATTAGTTTGGTTAGAATTGTTACTTATTTAAAATTTAAAAAAATAATAGTAGCCCGATCACCAAATATTTTATATCCGTATAGTATTCTTTCTAGAATAAATATGAAATAATATTCATTTAGTAGATTGTAATGGACTACTTTTTGGTTCTGCAGTATGTGCTTAGAATATAATATGTATAGGGTGATTCAAAATTGAGTGCAAAGATTTTAAGGGCGTATGTACGAGCCAAAAATAAGAAATTTTTTTCATATAATCGTACGTCCTAACTTGCTTAGTTTTCTAGATACAGGGTGTCAAAGTTTTTTAAATTTGGTAGTATTATTTGTCATCATAAGGGCCTTTTGGTCAGTATAAAATAAATTTATTAATTCCAGTGGCGCCTCAAGGGGCTAACAACTTGATACTTAAAGGTAAAATTATGGTACAGCACTGCTTTTTGACAATCAAATATTTTTTTTTTAGATTAAGCGGTTAATAATGTAATTTTCTTGCCTCTTAATTTTTACTCGTATCTAACTTTGTTTCCAGGAAAAAATCAAAATCTGTGCCTGATCCCATTAAAACAAGTTAAAAATTAATTACTAAATGATGGAGATTGTCGCCAAATAGGTCTGTCTTAATTTTTATTTGTGTTATGAAATTTCATTCGCTATTTATTCCAGTGGCGTCTCAAAGTGTGATATTATTTAATTAATAATTGTTAAAAAACAAGTTTATTTTAAAAAAACTTTGACACCCTGTATCTATAAAACGAAGCAAGTTAGGACACGATTATATGAATTTTTTTTTTATTTTTGGCTGATTAATACGCCCCAAAAATCTTTGCACTCAATTATGAATCATCCTGTATAATATCCGTGTGGGTGGAGAATAATTAGTTAGTGGGCTACTAAACGTTTGGTGGATTTAATAATAAATATAATATTCTCTTTTATTCATCTCCTTACGAGTGAATTTCAATCCCTTGTCCGGGGAAGGGACGGTGTTATTATTATTATTATTATTATTTGCCGTGGCACTTCTGGGCGACTTAAAGATGATATTATTGATATAAGCATCAGCAACTGCTTAAAAAATATCTATTTTTTTTTAGTTTCAAATTTATTCGGAAATAACTTCCACCTTAATATTTTCTAAGCATATTTAAATTAATTTTTTTTTATGTATAATCTTAAAAATTCGAAAAACTATCTAGAAATAAATTCCCAAATGCATACAGCCAGTTGCAAGAACGTTCATCAAAATGTACAATTTAAAATAGATTATAAATTAATACCCCTATAATAAAATGAGTCTACTGCAAACAACACGACATTATTTCTTGCCATTCTTTTTTTAATGAAACTCCATCGACAATAGGATCAAGATTTAAGTCCGATTCAACCGTGGAACTTCATTAAAAATTACTTACTTCGACGAAAGCGGGATAAGCTGGATCAGTCCATGCTATCAGAGTCTCCGACGGCATGCTAAGACCCTTTTCTGATACAGCTTGAATATAAACGATGTACTGGGTGTTGGGATTCAGGCTGCTTATCGTGTAAGACGTTACTGTCACGTTCTTGATGTGGAATTGGTCTTCGGCGGTCGATTTATGGAAAATTCTGGTAACAAAAGATGTATTAGGCTATGCAAATATAAATTGAATAAATACGGGGTTGTTCCGGTAGCATTAACTATTTTATGCTTACGTCCTAACATCACAGTTTAATGATATTATGTTGTTATTGAGCGACAAGTACACTGAAAATTAAAATATGTACCTATTGTTCTCCCTTCTAATGCTAAATCACAGAAACTCGAATTTTCTAGATTTCTATTAATTTCAATATCTTGCTACTTTAAAAAGTTTGATTTTATAGAATAATTTTTATTTATCCAAAAATGTATGGGTGTAAAAATACAAATTTTTAACTTACAATGAAAAGATATTATTAGGCAATGAAAATAAATAAACATTTACAATAAATAATTATTTAAAAACATTTTAAATTGACTCGCATTTAAAATAGTTAGTGGCAGAATATGCCCCTTAGCAGAAATCTGATAATATCTATGGATTTATTGCTGTAACAAACCTTATAAATAATTTAGTTTTTAAAAACAAAGTGTAATAATAAAAACTATACCTGTACGTGATGATTTCTGAGGGATGACTGAATTCTGGTGGTTGCCAAGTGATGGTGACCCAAGTGGCGCTGTGACTTGCAACTGCTAATGAATGGGGTGGTGAAGTAACGCCCTTCACCCATTTGGATTGATCTAAATTTTGACAAATACATAATAATAAATATAAGATACCGAATGAATAGATTTCAAAGATGAATTTTATAATTAATACCACAAGATGGTTTTCATGAATCTCATTTCAGAGATACTTTTATAAAGTATACTACCACATGTTGTTAGTCAATCAAAATAATTAATTTAATATACAGGATGTTGATTTTATTATGTTCAAATCTGAACATACTGGCGACTCTCAACTTGAGTCACCCGGATTTTCGGTCCTGACTGAGGTTAGTGGCTGCAGTTCGATCATCTCAGCTTGGTGTGGCGATGCTGGTGGACCACGGCGGAGATGGTGGTATATTTTGTTTTGTAGAAGACCCAAATAACTATTAGTGTAGGTAACAGAATAGCGGCTGTGATGGCATTCGAGGTGTAGTTGTGGCTCTTGATCCTCTTCCAACTTTTCTCATGCAACTCATCATGAACTGCATTTTCTTCGGAAATTATGGAATTTAAGTTATGCGTCTAAAGCATTGATACTTCTTGGGTATAAGTATGGAGAACTTCAAGCGGACGGAAGTCCCTTGGTTGTATAGTTGTCGAATTCGTTTGATACGAGCTTCGATATGTTTTTAAAGCGGTTGCTTCTTGGGTGTGTAGAACTTCATTCTAACGAAAGTTCCTTTTTCGTATAGTTGTCGAATTCGCTTGATACGAGCTTCGATTTGTTTTTAAAGCGGTTGCTTCTTGGATTTTGGCTTGGATTTAGTCAAACTTGTTATTGAGGTTGGCAGAAAGACTTCATTTTCTTGTTTTTCTTCATGTTGAAGTTTGCTTCTTCCATAGGTTTTTCAAAATTTTTAAACTTTTGCTCGAAGGACCATGATTTGAATTTCAAAGCTTAATTGTTGTAATTAATACCACAAGATGGTTTTCATGAATCTCATTTCAGAGATAATTTTGTAAAGTATACTACCACATTGTTATTAGTCAATATTTATAATTAATTTAATATACAGGATGTTGATTTTATTATGTTCAAATCTGAACACCGAAATTAAATATAAAATTGCAACTTCCATGAAAAAACAAACCACGATTGTCATGTTAACTTCCAGATAACTGTTATATTTTTAAATCCTTGCAATAAGTTCGTAAAATGTTTTATTCACAACATATACTCGCGTATACGGAATTCGACAGTCATACAGATTTCTTGGCTTCGAAAAACCACAAGAAATTCTAAAGGCACCTCTTCACTATGAACGAGTAACCGTCTTTACTTCTTTGAAGATGAAAAAGGTCACAATGTAACAATGAATCAAGAAATATATAACAACAGATTGAATTATTTGCCTAAAATGCTTCTGCAGAGCTAGGAACTTGCCTTATCGAAGACAACATATGCCATAGCGCTAATGTCACTCGTGCAATGTTAGACCACATTTCGGTAACATGATATATATCCAGAAAAACTAATCGTCTATCCACCACATTGTCCCGACTTGACCCACTCTGATGTCTGTATCTGGAGAATACCTAGTGAAAAATAGCATTTTCAGTGGAAATGCTCCAAGAACAGTTCGAGAATTAAAAACAGCACCAAAACATTTACGCTAGCCTCTATTTAGACTATGCTATTGTCGCGCAAAAGTCTACCCTGTGCTTTGTTTACTCCTTGTCCGCGGTATGAAGTCTGGCAATATAGAGACAAACGCACTGCTTTTCGAAACCGCCGGAATGATCGCAATGCGGCGTACGAGTCATAGAAAGGCAGTTTTCGATCGTTCTGGAAAGCCAAAAGGGGCCTAGTACAAAGTTGGCTTTATATAAATAGCGCGCGTTGTCGACGGACGGCAGATTGAATTTAAGTGTTGGACAAAAAAGATAAATTGTAATAAATTAATTAGTACGTCATAAATAAACGACAGGGAAGAAAGCAAAGCTGACTGAGCGGCTTAAAGAAGCAATGAAAAGCGAAGGTTTGATCTGGAAACATTTCTATAATTTCTTCGTTAGAAAGTCAAATGTCAACTATGAAAACCGATATTTCTTCTGACATTTCTTCATTAGAAACGTAAAGTTTCTTCTGACATTTCTCCCTTAGAAGAAAAGGCCGTCTTCTGATGTTGCTTTCGTGAAAATCGAAATCTCTTCTTTAGAAACTAAAGTTTCTTCTGATATCTCTTCTTTAAAAGATGGAATTTTTTCCGACTTGGAAAATAAAATGTCTTCTATTGAAAATAATTGTTCGTCTAATATTTCTTCCTTAGAAGAGTGCCTTCCGAAATATCTTCTTTAAAAATCGAAATTTCTGCTGATGTGGAATATAAGATGACTTCCGTTGAGGAGAAAATAATGTCTTCCGTTAAAGAGAAAATAAAAGTAACGGAAAAGAAGATAGAAGAACTGGAACATACAGAACCGGCCAAGGACGATGAAATAAAATAGCATGAGGTGAAGTCGAAGTTGAAATTGGAAGGAGCTGCATATTCTGATCGTGTTAAAGCCCTACCTTTCGACCAACTATCTAAAACAGTTCGAAACAGAGAAGGCAGTAAATTTGACCATCGCCCTTCGAGGAGACGCTTGAGATGTTCTTCAGACAATAGCTGTGGAAGAGACTGATGATTTTGAACAACTCAAAAAGAGACTAAACAAACGTTACACTATTATTATAGATATGTTTTGTTGCGCTTGGGAACTGATACATTTCTCCAGCGTCGCAACTAATTTCATAGTGGCCACAAAGGACCATCAGTATTTTTTCTGGAGATAATAGCTGAAGTAATAGCCATTAACTCTTTAATGCGCAATTCTATAACCTTAAAAAATATATTAATGGACAACTCCATCCTCGAATTCAACAGGTAGGTTATCTATGTAAAGATCGCATGAGTCGTCGTATAAGCTGTTAATTGACATTAGAACTTCATTTATGTCTTCTTCAGACTCGCTCAAGTCAAAATCATTGTCATTGTTGCAAAAATTTGTTGCAATTACTTCCACTTCACGTGAAGAGTACTTTCTTGTGATTCATTTTTTACGGACTAGAAAACGCTATGTATCAGATTTGAGACAACAATATTTATTGAGAACGTAGTAGGTTTATATATCGATATACCTTTCGTTATTTTTTAATTTAACATGTTTAAAACCTCAGAATCTAATAGAAGATAGCAAAAATATTAAAATTTCGGTAGCAGCACTATAGTCTATTTTTATGTATGAGAGATTAATAAAACAGCATTTCTAATGCAAAACTTAGTACGGTCATTTTAAATATTTTTACAGAATAATCTAAATATTTCCTAAAATTGTAATAAATGTACCTGAGCTATTACAAGTTTTGGGTCTTTTATTGGTCCTTTATAAACATAAGCTAAACAGAACAATAGAAAAAGGTTTGGACAGTCCAAAAGCCCTGTGTATTAAAGATTACATAGCCGTATCTTAAGATTATTTTCAATAAGTACCTATTTGCCAATTTTGCTTTATTTTAATTCCAAGAATTTCTTACAGTAATCGAATTATAAGTAGATAAATACCTTCCCAACAAATTTCACCGAAAATGCGATTATAGGTTTTCCATTTAGTAAGGAGGTCCAAGTTGTATATTCCTGACAGTTTACTAAATGTCGTTTAGTTGCAACTTGCAAGGTGCAGTGTGAATTCTAGTGTGATCATGGAAAATTTGGAAGGGCCGCGTAAACGACAAAAAATCGGTCCTTTAACAGTTAATGAAAAAACATTAATATTTAATTGTTTTAAATCATTTACAGACAAACATTTATGTAAAAGTGTTGATGACACAGTGGAATTAGTTAGTAGTACGCTTGGTGTTGGGAAATCTACGATTTACAGAGTTGTTAAAGAAGAGAAATGTGGCGAGTTTCAAACAGCACGTAAAGCTCCAGGAAAACCAAAATTTCAATTAGAAAATTTTTTGAAAGAAAGACTTCGAAGGAAAGTGCATGCGTTCTTCTTTAGAAAAGAATTTCCGACAGTAGACAAAGTTCTTGCCACGGTTCGAGATGAAATGAGTCGAAGCACACTATTAAAACTTTTAAAAGAAATAGGTTTTCTATGGAAAAAGCATTCCAGAAAGTCTATTTTAATAGAAAGAAGCGATATTGTAGTATGGAGAAGAAATTACCTAAGGACTATAAAAGAAATGAGAAACCAAAGAAGAAATATATTTTATTTAGATGAAACTGTTTCAAGTCAAAGACAGGCTTTTTTAAATAATGTATCTACTGGTTTAAATCCACCATCAGGAAAGGGGCACAGACTAATAATAGTACACATCGGTAGTTCAAACGGTTTTGTTAAAGGTGGTTTATTGACTTTTGAATCTACTCGTACCGGTGACTACCATGAGGACATGAATGCTTATGTCTTTAAAGAGTGGTTCCAACAAATTATAGATCTTTTTCCTCAGAACTGTATAATAGTAATGGATAATGCAAGTTATCACTCGAGACTTATAGAAAAAATGCCCACAACCAAGTGGTTAAAAAAAGATTTACAGAATTGGCTAAATTCAAAGAATATTAAGTTCCGTCCCGGTTCTGTGAGAAAAGAACTGTATCATTTGTGTTCCCTTCATAAAGAGAAATTCAAAAAATATGAAATTGATCAAATTGCAAAAAATCGTGGGATGACGGTGGTTAGATCACCACCATATCATTGCGAAGTAAACCCGATTGAACTGATATGGGCACAGATAAAGGGAGAAGTTTCAAGAAAAAATAATTCTTTTAAAATGAGTGATGTTAAACAGTTGTTTTTGGAGGCTGTAAATAAGGTGAAGTCTGAAAACTGGGAACAGGCAGTAAATCATACGATTAAAGAAGAAGAGAAAATGTGGAAGTTGGACAATATTACTGATGAAATGATCGAGCCACTCATTGTAAATATTGGTTGCGACAGTTCATCTTCTGATTTCGATTCTGATTTGGATTTGTAGGTAAGAAGTAGTTTTTGTATTAACATTTTTATTTATGAACGTAACGTTGTTTAAAAGTCAAAGTTTAAACCCTTATACCTACATAACCCGTTTGACACAATGTTCTTACCATACCTTGTGAAAAATAAAACATTTTAGAAAAAATTGCACTTTTTTACCTTCAGCTGTTTAGAAGTTATAAGCAGGTTAATTAGGTGAAAATATAAGTGTATACTCTCGAGTAATACCTTCAAAAAATATTTTAACTGTCTACTAAAGTGATACGCCTATGGATTACGAACGCTTTATTATTTTAATACTCTCTCATACATAAAAATAGACTATAATCACATACTTACACGCTTAAGGTACATCGATAAATTCAGCAAAACTTCCCGCCAAACAAAAACTGCGCGCGATTTTCATCTTAAATAGCATATACTTGAGAGTGTCTCAAACGGACAGCTTGGTGTGTATTTCCAAGCAAGACGTTGTCTATGTACATTTTAAATGTTCGTATCAGGTATGCAACATTGCGCAGTAAAGGGTTAAACTTCAGAAATCTATCTACCAACTTAAAATACTCTTTCTATATAGAGATTCGGTATTAAAATATAATGATCGATGCCTTGGAATATTTTCGTTCACAAAATAAATTTAATGCCTTGATATAAGAGAATTATTTATAATTAAATTATTGGAAACGTAAACAATTTTAAGTGAAAAGTATTGAAAAAGAAACATCAAATGATGTGATTCGATTCTCAAGTTCCTGATTTTTACAATCTTTGTTGTGGCCAAACTCAGCCGACATGCATAACTTCGAGTTTGTCGTTAAGTTGGTTGCCTAATTAGTAGTTCGTTATAATAATACAGCAGTGACAATACGTTTATCTTCCTCAGAAGCGAATGAGCTAGACATACATAAACAGAGAACGGTAGGTACTACCTACTATACTTCCGTAAAGTATGGAACAAATTCATTTTTAGCTAAACAGACCATTTAAAGAAATAATTCTGAAACACGTCGATTTTTGATTTTAATTTACCGTATTTTAAAATAATAATCTAATATACAGGGTGAATTACTTTCGAGTAATGACGTCACCGCCATTTTTTTTAAATGGAACACCCACATTTTGTCTCAATTTTCGGATTACTCTAGCTGAGCTGATTCCAAAAATGTATCACATGTTGATTCCAATTGGTACAGGGTGGGCAAAAATACAATAGTTTTGTGTGTGCTCATAAAGTAATGCGTAACATTCTTTATTAGTTAAATTAACAATATTATTAAAAATACTTATTGTCTAGCGGACAGAATATGATGAAATACATGACTTTATAAATGTTCGAACTGCAGCCCTTGCTGTATTTGACAGTAACCCAAACGGTGTACAAATTCTTGTTGAACCTTGTTTATTGTGCCTTGAGAAATATTGTTTATTGTTGTCTGAATTCTCTCTTTTAATTCTTCAATATTTGCTGGTTTCGTTTGATACACAACATTCTTCAGATGGCCCCACATAAAATAATCCAAAGGATTAAAATCTGGTGACCTCGCTGGCCATTCGATAGGTCCACGTCTACCAATCCACCTGTTCGGAAAAATTTCATCTAGGTACCTTGTAACATCTACAGCATAATGTGGAGGTGCACCATCCTGTTGAAACCATAAACTTTCACCACAACCTCCAGGATTACGTCTGCTGGGAAACAAATTACGTAAAGTAGGTACGAGATACCCCCTTAAAAACTCAAGGTACGTTTAAATTACCTTCGATTAAGTAGGGTCCGATGATTCGATTTCTTACAATTCCAGCCCATACATTTACCTTTTGCGGGTATTGTGTATGATGCTCACGCATCCAGTGGGGGTTTTCTTTTGCCTAGTATCTACAATTCTGACGGTTAACCTTGCCATTTAACGTGAAAGTGGCCTCATCAGAAAAAATAATGTTTTGTATCAAGAGAGGGTCTCAGTGACATTTATCCATAATTTTTTCGCAAAATTGGATTCTTCTATCGGGATCATCTTCGTTTAATTCCTGCACAAGTTTGATTTTATAAGGATGCCATTTTTCAAGCTTTAATAGTTTGTGTACCGTTGTTTTGCTAACACCGATATCGCGACTAACTTTACGCATAGAAGTGTGCGCGTCTTCTTCAAAACTAAGTAAAACATCTTGCAGAGGGACGACCTGATTTGCGTACATTTTCAACCGTACCAGTTTCTCAAAATTTCTTTTCAATCTTACTGACTGTTGAACGCGTTATAGGTCTTTCTGGATATTTATCATTAAACAAATTGGACACTACCATCTAAGTTCGCGATCTGTCTCCATACCCAATCATCATAAGTATTTCAATTTTTTGTTTTACACTTAACTCCATTTCTAATTCAAATTAAATCTAATATTGTAGTACTAAACTGTCACTGAACATCAATAAATTACTAAACAAAAAACAAGATGTTTTTTCAAAATTGATAAGAAATAATTTCTTTCATATTCTGTCTGCTAGACCACACATCCACTCTGTACCAATTGGAATCAACATGTGATACATTTTTGGAATCAGCTCAGCTAGAGTAATCCGAAAATTGAGACAAAATGGGGGTGTTCCATTTAAAAAAAAATGACGGTGACGTCATTACTCGAAAGTAATTCATCCTGTATATTAGATTATTATTTTAAAATACGGTAAATTAAAATAAAAAATCGACGTGTTTCAGGATTATTTCTTAAAATGGTCTGTTTAGCTAAAAATGAATTTGTTCCATACTTTATGGAATTAACAATTCGAATGCGGGGCATATCATGTCCCAATAGCAGGGTTGATAGAGCAGCGTGCGTAAAACCCGAATATGGATGTTTCGAATCCTTTCCCAAACAAAGTTTTTTTACATTTTTCAATATTTGATTTTACTTTGGAGTTTCAAAAGTTTTTATTATTACTTAGGGAAAATTTTGAGAAAAAGACTTGCGAATATCCAAAAAATGTATGCTTGGTTTTTGAATTAATAACGAATATTTTTATACTAACCTGATTTGACTAACTTTATCACAATTATTGATGAAGGAAGCGAAGTTCCCTCATCGTTCCTAGCTACTACAAAGATATGGTATAACTGGTTTTCTTCTAAATCAGTGAGGGTAGCAGTCGTCATTGTCGTATTTATTTGCTAAAATAAAAAAACATGACTATATAGTTATATATAAAACCTAACTAAATAAATAATTGTGATAAGAATCAATAAATGGTAAGAGTGCCAATATTAACTATTATAATTAAAACATTAAGATATCCAATAATGATTTTAGACTAACGAAGAACAAGTATTAATTTTAGACCATCATACGACGTCTTAAATAAGTTAATCTTTAATTTCTAGAAAGAATTAATGGCTACATTTGAAGCTGTCTCTTTAAAATATGAAACATTGCTCTTAGACAACGATAAAAAACTACTACACAAATCTATTCATATTTTTCTCAGTATTTTTATCATATTACCTAAACCTTAAAAATAATCATCGTCAACAAACCAAATCTGCTTTTTATTCGTGTTATTTTTATGTTTTGATAATAGGAAGCGATTAAAATATAATAAATTCCTCTCTCTAAGTAATTACGAAAAAAAGATTTCAATATTTTCTAGATTGAACCAACTTACAATAAAATAAGCAATCAGAATGAAAATATCTATCTTACCTTATCTAATTTGGACACAGTCTCATACATTGACGTATTATCTACTTTTTGGTAATTTATCACATAATCTGTAATGTTTGTTGAATTATCTGGCGCGTTCCATTCAAGAAGAATGGTGTGTTCATCTACAACTACCCCGTGAAGGGCTGATACTGGTCCAGGTAATTTTTCTGCACCTATAGGAACACCGAATTTAGTACAACCTACAAATTAGTAGGAATAGGAAACTTACCTTCTTCGAAGCACTGAGCTATATTCCCGATATATGGCACACAGCTAGTAGAAGACGAAGAAAACGAACTGAGCATGACGCCATTACAAATTGGCAAACATCCTGAAGGAACGCCTCGTCGATGACAACACGTTGCATGATTTCGACCTCCAGCTGCACATTTCAGAATCCTTTGAAAGTCTGCTGAACACACACTAGCTAGCGCCTTGATATCGGTCATACTTGCGTCGTAGGAGCAGAGAGGATAGCATACGGTGTTAATTTGGGCTTCTTCGCAGCAAGCCGTTACGTTGTAGATTTGAGCTTCTTCGATTTTTTCTTCAATTAACTGTAATTAAACAAAAACACGAACATTTAAATTTGGTAGAGGAAGTTGCTATGTAAAACTATAAAAAAGGTTATTTATAACCTTTCTATAATTATCAAATATATGATATAGAAATGGGCCAAAGTGACTGCCTTGAGGGACGCCTTGAAGGACTTTTTAGATACAAAATATGTAACGCTAACAAATCCCTTTTTATGAGGCGAATAACATTCCTTAACCGCCTGTGTATACATTGAATAAAATGTGAATGGATGATAATAGACCTCAATAATATTTCAACGTTCTCCAGATAGTGTAACTGAGAAGTGAGGTTTATCCATTCTTTTTAAAAGTTGTATGGTATGTTACCTTCTCTCTTTCTACTACCTCCATGGTTCAATCAAAACATAATTCAATTAGACTTTCTAAAAGCCATGTGTCGAGTCTCTGTCGAGCAGTCTATTTTCGCACTACATCCTACATTAAAGGTAATTTATTTACAAAAATATTTTGCGGTTGGCAGAATACTAAAATTAAAAGTCATTTGTCATATTTAACGCCAAATTAACAATGTAGCAAACGAATTATACATTTTATTTAGATAAATATTTTAAATTATAGTAAGATAAATCACAAGGAAAGGTCTATTAAAAATATTTATAGATGTAGTTAATTATCGAAAATATGCAAGAACAGCAGGCTGAAGAGAACGTCACTCTTATAGAAGATTTTTACGGGTACTACTATGATACTAACGGATACGCCCACAAAGTGAGCAGGTTCACTTGGAGAAATCTTAACAAAATCGAAGTTAAAGTCATCAATTATGGAGCTAGGATCACCTCTATCAGTTATCCAGATAGAAATGGTGTAGTTGATGATATTGTGTTAGGTAAATATTTTTCATTGAGTATTTAGTCAAAAAAACAAGATTTTAGAGCACCAATAGTTAGGAAATCAATCAATTTGAATGTCGATAAATATTTTACTTTTTCAATAGGAGACATACATATTAGATCAACTTATTATCTAAAAATATCGTTACTTTACAGACTTCGTTTGCTTTACATGGTCAATCTTTTGACTGGACACGTTCAACTACAGGAAAGCAGTGGCGTATACAAAGTTTATAGAATACAATGTATTTCATTAGTACATAATTACTTGATATTTCAATCTGTGTAATAGACAAGCAACCACGTTTTGAATAAAAATTATATGGATTTAAAATAGGTATACTTTAAAAATACAGAGCTTTTACCTAGCAAATAAAAATATCTATTTTAAAATAAAATCACCGTTTTTTTTTTGTTGAATAATGTACTTTATTGCATTTAAACCTATAACGTTTTTGAAAAATATTACAGGTTTTAATTTAGATAGGTAACAATAATTTCAAAACTGTTTAAATTACAGATTTATAAGATACAATTCTAATTAATAGTGATGATACAAATATTGAATGTTTTATAACCTGTTAAATATGGCTCATTTGAAGTTTAATTTACCCTAATATCGTCGGTGGCTTACAGGTATAGTATTGATGTAATTTTTATCCAGGAACCTAATAAAAAATTAGTGTGTAGACACATAAAACACACACCGAATACGTCAGGATAGACATATGCAAGACTACGATCTATAATTGCTACATATCTCCCAACATCCCTAAACTGGAGTATGAAAATAAAATTGGCGAGATTATGGAAGACAGAAGAAATAATAATTCCCAGACAATAATTTTGAGGGATCTAAATGAGAAATCCAGATTATGGAACTCAAACTTTACGGAGGAAAGGGGAAACTACCTTGAGACATGGCTCGCTACATTATACCTAATTCCAGCAAACAAAGGCCCAATACCTATTTTCGTCAGAGGAAACAGCAGGTCATACCTAGATATCACCCTGGCCACAGAGAAGACAGAGAAAAATAAAAAACTGGGAAGTATCTCTGGAGGAGTCACTCAGCCTCCATAGATTCATTATGTTTGAGGTATTGGAAAGACAAGTATGAAGCAGACCCCATTTGTAGAAAAAATAGAGTACAACGAAAAGATTCTAAGGAACTTCTTAGAACTAATAAAATACAACATTGGAGACTCTTATAAGAAGATTAAGAAAGCACAACGCCTTAGTATAGAGAATAGAGGCGAACAGTCCGGATTTTTCTTTGACACGGAATGACATTTCAAGATATTTCTGGACTATTCCATCGTCTTCATTTACTCGTACCTTTACTTATGACGACCGCAGCACGCTGCAGGGTGCTGCGTAACATTGCTCCCTCCTTTAGGGCACCCACGCGACAAAAAATTACGACCTATTGGTGGAATTAGTCGGTTGAGGACAAAAGAAAAGGGTGTAATAGAGCAAGGAGAAATCTAACGAGAGCCAGAGCCAAAAGGACGACCCCTAACGAACAAATGGACGAACTCGAAACCAGGTACAAAGAGACCAAAAACGAATACCACAAGGAAATAAAATATTCAAAAAGGGAGAAATGAAAACCATTGCCGGAGGAACTAGAAGAGGTCGTATGGGGACAGGGTTTCCAAATTGTTACAAGAAACCTAAAAAAGACGTCCGCACCCTATGAAATACCAGCCCATGAAAAGAGGAAAGCCATAGCTGACCTATTTCTGGACTGGGATGAAAAAGTTGAAGCATATGAAACTATAGACCTGCATGGACATCGCACATTAGATGAATTAAAAACCGTAAGGAAGAAAATAGAGACAGGAAAAGCCGCTGGCTCGGACGGGATCATATTGGAAGCGGTTAAAACTGCAGTGGAAGTCATGCCGGACGAATTCCTCAACACTATTAATAAAATCTACAGACTACAGTCTTTCCCCAAGATTTGGAAAAAGGCGAAAGTAGCCCTAATCCCAAAGGAGAAAACGGGAGAATATAGGCCACTTTGTATATTAGATGTCTTTGGAAAGTTATTGAAACATACAATTCTGGCCAAACTTGAAGACCACATAACCATAGCTGAGACTAAGTATGGATTTAGAAAGGGTAAATCAACCGTTCAAGCAGTAGAAACCATGACTGGGAACACTAAACACTACTGGTAGGCACTTATATGTATAGATATTCAAGACACATTCAACACAGCTAAATAGTCGATAATTATTAGAATGCTGCAGAAAAACGAAACCTCAGAGTGGCTAGTGAACTTAATAAGGAACTTTTTCAAAGACAGAACTCATGGTAGAAGAATACTCGAAAATAATGTCGCAAGGAGTCCCCCAAGGATCCATACTGGGCACAACGTTATGGAACATCTTGTACGATGAGGTTTTAAGGATACAACTATAGGCAGGTTATGAGACGGTCGCATACGCTGACGACCTTACGCTGGAACAAAGTAAGGACTTTTAGAGAAAGCGAACTATTAACTGCAATGCATCGACAACTGGATGAATAGAAATCATCTAAAAATAGCAACAAACAAAAATGAGTCTGTGATCAACAAAGGACCTAGATATAGGGCGAGCATCAGTTTTAGAATAGGGCGAAACCAAATTACTCCGCATAGATGACAAAATTATTTTTAACAAACATGTCAGGAGTAGCCTGGAAAAGGCAGAGAAGTCATACACGGCACTAGTAAAACTGATGCCCAACCTAGGAGGACCCTCCAGCAGTAAGAGGATGTTGTTGAACAACGTAGTACAATCGGTCATCGTGTACGGAGCACCAATCAAGCACCGCGTAATAAATGTACAAAAATACAGAGGGATGCTGGAAAGCTGGAAAGCAACGAAAGATGTGGCTCAAAGTCACAAGTGCCTACAGAACAGTATCACACAGTGCTAGCAGGGGTGCCCTCCACTAAAATCATGGTACAAGAGAGAGTAAAGATACAGGAGAGAAAAAGAATGGCCATACTAATTACAAGTACCATCAGGAGGGAAGAGAGGAACACAATCCTAATTAATTGGCAGGTAGACTAGGATAACACCATGACTGTGGCGCAGTGGACCAGAACACTTATCCCGATTATTCAGATTTGGCTAAGGTGCGAGCACCGGAAAAAGAAGAAGAAGAAGAAGAAGAAGAAGAAGAAGAAGAAGAAGAAAAAAATTATCAGGAAATGGGGGAACATGAAAAGAAGAGACACAAGGGCTTCAAATAGCAAAAGACCTGGGCGATCGAGCTAAAACTCGAGAGAGTATTCTGGTTTCCCAACAGATCGGAGGACGAGGCGGGGTAGTAGACATCTGTAGTCCCACACTAGCCCCTAAGAACATCGCAGGGGTGTGCGTAAATGCATTTTTTGCCACTGCTCAAAAAAACATTTAATTTACCCATTTACCCAATTTTTTCGAAAGCAGCAACCTGTTTATTATTTTAGTGTTAAATTCGTTATGAATAAAAACTATTAAAAATATGGATTGAACTCGCGGCGCATACAAATTTCGTTTTATATATTATGCTATATAAATAACTATAGTCTTGTCACACAAATACGAGTTTATTGTGGGTCATACATCATGTCTAAACCGAGTTATATATAACTCCTAGGTAATTACTGCCATTTTATTACTACTTTTAACATCAACTGGACGTCTAGTAGAGTATACATACAAATTGCACATTTTTGACCATTTTGAGGACTTCCCTTTCTGAATTATATTAGGATATTCTAAATCTACGCAATAAACGTTAAATAATAACAAATTGGCGTTCAATAAACTACTTTGATAGATACTCTACAAATCATGTCCTTTTCTGGATTATATTCGGACATTGTATGTACACGGAATATACGTTTAACGATGACCAATGGCATTGCATTAGCTGAGAGCACCTTCTCCTCTTTTTTCTGTCTCAAAGCCATCTCCATATAAGAGCAAGACGTGGAGGGTTTCAAATGTCAGCGCTGTTAACATCACTACCTTTCAATACACAACCTTCCATTCCGCAACTCTCCACATATGGTCGCATCTATTTTAGATCATTATTAATTATTTAACATACGATTGTTTTAGGCTTCGATGATCTAAGTGGCTACATCTTCTACAATAAATACTATTTTGGAGCAACCATCGGTCGTATGACCAATTTGGTGCGAAATTCCACAATAAACATTGGTAAAAAGCATCGTCACGTTAAACCCAATACGCCAGAACATCATCAGAAGAATGGAGGAACCATAGGTTTCGACCAAAAGATATGGGATTCCCACATCGAAGGTAATGCTAGTAATATTAATAATAACAAATAGATCGTATTCACCATAAAATTGTTACGTTGGTTTTTGGTAACTCAATTTACTTTAACTCAACTTTTACAATTCAACTAAAGAACTCTCAACTTTTTTCAGTTATATTTAGTATAAAAGTCATTTTTTGATTTGTATGTTGCGTTTTGATTCCTTAAATTTCTAATAAATATGGTCAAATTTACGACTAAAGTACGTGAACCTGATAAATGAGTTTTGTATTTTTTGCAGGTAAAAAAGTAATTATGAGTTATGTTAGTCCAGATGGCGAAGAAGGATATCCAGGTAGCCTAATGACCCAAATAACATTCGAACTTTCCGAAAAAAATGAGTTCAAAATCGATATGGAGTCTGTTTCTTCACTACCGACATCCATAAACCTATCAAACTTGCTATATTTCAACCTGGCGGGTCATTACGCAGGTCCAGAGCATATTTACAAGCATATTTTAACTTTAAATTGCAATTGTTTTACTGTACAGGATGAAAATGGTTTCAGTACTGGTGAAGTGAGAAACGTTGTTCATACTATATATGATTTTCAAATTCCGAAAACTTTGGGAAAAGTTATTGGAATTACAGCAAAAGATGGTAAGATATAGTCTATTTAACCGATTTTCGCGTGTACCTGTAATAATATAAGAGCTCAAAATAACACTCTATATATATCGAATATTTTTAAAAAATGCTTTACATATTTGAAAAGAGCACAAAACACTGACTTCATTGATGTATTGTGTAAGACATATTGTGAAAAATTTTAAGATTTAGAGACTAAAGGTTACATTAGAAAACTTTCGGAAAGCGAAATTAATATTGTATCTGATAAAATTTGGTATTTGCTACATTTTGGAATAACAAATCCAAATAAACCAAATAAATTACGTTTTTTTTTATGCATCTGCAAAAATTAAAGGAATTTCTTTAAATGATTGCCTATTAACTAGCCCAGATCTTTATAACTCTCTCTATAAAATTTTGATGAATTTTAGGATTAAAAAATACGCTTTTACAGCAGATATTAAAGAAATGTTTTTACAAGTCAGGGTAAGGCCACAAGACTGTTACGCTCAGCGTATTTTGTGGAGGGGAATGAATCGATACGTTGAGCCTGACGTGTACGAAATTGGAGTAGTTTTCTTTGGCTCGACAAGTGGACCTTGTTTAGCTCAAAGTGCAAAAATATAAATGCTCTCAAATTCAATATGACATATCCCGAAGCAACTAAAGCCATTGTGAAGAATCATTACATGGATGACTACTTGGGAGGAGCAGACACTCTTGAAGAAGCTCAAAAGTTCGTCCGAGATGTGATCTATGTACACAATCAAGGTGGATTTGTACCTGGATTACAAACCACCAAGAAGTTCTCCAAGACATTGACGTGGTTTTAATTGCAGAAGGTATAAAATATTTCAAATTTTCTATAGAAACATCTTATGTAGAGATAGTTTTAGGGGTGTTTTGGGATCCACAAAGAGATTTCATAAAATTAGCTCCGATATTTTAGAAAACAAAAGAAGACCGACAAAAAGGGAGATCTAAGAGGTCGTTATGTCCATATTTGACCCTCTGGGACTCATAGCGAATTTTCTAATTTAAGGTAAAGTGCTTTTACAAGACCTCTGAAGGAGTTAAATTGGATGGGATTACCAAATTCCAGATTTCATAAATGAAAAATGGCAGATTTGGCTTAAAGATTTAAAAGACATTTATAAAGTCGAAATTCCCAGACAATATTTTACTTTAGATCGACATATTTAAGAATGTCTCACAAAAATTTAGTTGAGTGTTCCTGTTTAACTGCTAAAACAAAAGTAGCCTCATTAAGCCCAGTATTATCGATCCCGAGGCTGGAATTGATGGAATCTACATTGGGAGTGAAATTAGGTAGTTATTTAAAGAAAAATGTAAATTTAAAAATTTCAAAAGTTTTTTAATAGTGTGACTCAAAGTATGTTTTACATTGGATACGTTCTGAAGCAAAAATATTTAAGATCTTTATTGCTCACCGTGTAGGAAAGATTCAAGAACTATCAAATGTAAGAGACTGGAGATATGTCAATTCAAAAAACAATGTAGCAGATGAAGCTGCTAAAAGACTTTGTGACTCCTATTTTAGTAGTAAGAGTAGATGGATCACAGGCCCAGAATTTTTGTTGTCTAGCCCGGATAATTGGCCACAAGAGACAGTACAGTCAGTTAATTTTGATCCTGATTTATTAGAAATAAAACACAGCTTTGTCTCGTTTATAAAATTCAGGTCTTTAACTAAGGGAGAATTAACTGTAGATGAAATTCAATCATCTAAAAACTTGCTTTTTACAGTAAGACAATACCCTCTACTAGTAAACTGTATACATTTAATTGTTGCTACGACAAGGGACTTATTAAACTAAAAGGACGACTAGACAAATCTCGACATCTCAGTCCTGACACAAAACCGATTATTTTAGACCCTACACACCAAATTACCAAACTCATTATTCAATACTTTCACGAGGAATTACACCACCAAGGACAAGAGACAGTTGTCAATAACTTAAGACAGAAATTTTGGATTCTTAGACTCTGACAAATTGTAAAATCTGTTTTAAAGAATTGCCAATACTGTAAAAATAGTAAGGCTCTGCCAGCAGTGCCTTTAATGGGTCAACTACCGGAATGTAGGACTGAACTCACAATAAGGCCTTTCATGAAAACCGCCATTGACTATTTTGGACGACCTATTGAAGTGACAGTGAAAAGAAGCCACGAAAAGAGATACGCAGTGATTTTTACGTGTATGGTGACTCGGGCAGTTCATTTAGAACTAGCTTATGATTTAACTTCTAATGTATTCATTAATATTTTGAGGCGATTTGGATGTCGACGTGGTTTTCCTGACGAAATCTATAGCGACAACGGTAGTAATTTCAAAGGTGCCAAAAGAGAACTCTCTTTAGAATTTCAAAAGTTAGACCAGTCAGAAATCATGAAAATGTGTGCACTTAAAAGATGTAAGTGGTTCTGTAATGCACCACTAGCAGCACACATGGAAGGTTGCTGGGAAAGACTTATTCAATCAATAGTTGAGAAGTACCCTCATGAACATGTTTTACGATCCTACTTGACAGAATGAATGTGAGAATACGTCAAACTCAAGGCAATTAGTTCATCAATCGCTTGATCCAGCTGACCGAGAAGCTTTAACACCCAATCATTTCCTTATTGGGTCTTCTTCAGTTGCTCTTCCTTGCATAGAAACAAATGATAGAGACGTAAATCTGTAGTCCAGTTGGCGCGCAGCTCAAAGATTGTCCGATATGTTTTGGTTTCGTTGGACAAATGAATACTTACCCATCTTAATAAGAAGAACAAAATGGTTTCAAGAGGGTAACCCAATTCAACTTGGTGACGTAGTTATTATGGTGGATCGCAGTGGACCGAGAAATTTCTGACAAAAGGGGTTAGTTATCAAACTGTATACTGCTAAAGACGGTAGAACGAGAATAGTTTATGTACGAAAACAAGCAGGGACAGTTTATAAGAGACCAGTATCTAAACTCATTGTTCTTGATGTTAGGAAGTTATTGAAACTGAAGAATAATTACTTGGGGGAGAAATGTTAAAGATTAAGATTAAGTTCTTTAATGTATGTTACTATGGTTTTAATTATGTTTTATGTAACTATTAAAGAAAAGGAAATAGACGTTTTCAAAATTTAAAATAAAGAAATAATACTCCTGCCCGTAGTAAGAATGTTTCAAGGTTTCTTGGTACAAAAATTAGAAATCTAGAGGCCCAAACCAAAATAGAAAAAACTTCCTATCATCGGTAAATCAACCTTGTACCAGCTCAGCCCCGGCAGATACTGTTCAAAATTAGGATTGGTATTGCGTCATCTGCGAAGAAAATAGAGTATGAGATATGAGGCAATGCAAAAACTGTCACTCTTGGATGCATGATGAATGTATTGGACTGACCAAAAATGATTTGAATGCTGTTACATGTCTGAAATGCGATGATTAGGTTTTTATCGCTGAAGAAATAAAGATTGCCTTATTACCCTCTGATGTTGGTAATGAGGCCCAATAACGACATTAATTTTTAATCTATATATATATATATATATATATATATATATATATATATATATATATATAAAAGCGAAATACCACTGACTGACTGACTGACTCATCACCAGATCTCCAAAACTATAAGGCCGATTGACTTGAAATTTGGCATAATTACTCCTTTCTCGACGTAGACACCCACTAAGAACGGATTTTATTCAAATTACATTTGAAGGGGGAAACGAGGGGGGGTGAAAGTTTGTAGGGGATATCGATTTTTTTAAAGGTAGGAACTTGAAAATTGGAATTGTAACTACTGATCGTAAATAAATAATGACATATTTCAGAGTTTTTGGATTTTCACAGTTTTTAAGGGGGGAAATGGGGGGGGGAGGGTGAAAGTTTGTATAGGTGTATCAATTTATTTTAAAAGGTATAAACTTGAAAATTGGAATTGTAGTTACTGATCATAAATAGTAATGACGCATTTCAGAGTTTTTGGATTTTCACATTTTAGGGGCGAGGGAGAATGGGGGGTGAAAGTTTGTATGAGAGTAGGATTTTTTAAGGGTATCGGTTTTTTAATATATCCAACATTTCAAGAGCTTGCAGAACAATTGAATTGCTGGAAGACGATGATCACTGGGATCGAACTTTAAAAGAAGGCTCAATTTCTGATTCTACTTATAAAATTCTTGAATTGTTCACTATCATTTTAGTTTTCTGTCAAGTTGAAGATCCAATTAAATTGTGGGAAAAATAACGAGACACTTTTGCGGAAGACATTAGAAGACAAATGAACAGAGGACAAGAAAACGTTAAGTTAGTTCTTGACATTATTTATAATAAATGCCTAATTCTTCTTGAGGATATGGTCATTGCAATGTCAGGTAAAAATTTGACACAATTTGGACTCATTTTACCATCTCGACACAGATCAGCTTACCGAAGAAGTTGCAGTAAATGTTTTAAAATTAAATATAGAACAGAAAGAAGCCTACAAGAAAATATTAAATAGTGTTGCTTCTAACTGTGGGAAATTATTCTTTCTTGAATTAGAAGTGAACAAAGTATCGCAATCGCTGTTGCTTCTTCTGGAATTGCAGCTACCTTAATCGACGGAGGCAAAACGGCTCACACTGCTTTTAAATTACTTCTGAACATGAATCATTCGGATAATACTCTTTGTAACATCTCTAAGCAGAGTGATATGGCACATGTCCTTAGCAAAACTAATTATATGGGATGAATGCACTATAGCTCACAAGAATGCTATCGAGGCTCTTAACAGAACGCTAAAAGATATAAGAAGTTGTAACCAAATTTATGGGTGGAATTACTGTTCTTTTGGCTGGTGACTTTAGACAAACATTGCCTGTTGTGCCACGAGGTACACTAGCAGATGAGGTCAAAGCCTGTCTAAAATCATCAATTTTGTAGCCCCATGTCAGCATGCTATCTTTAAGACTTAATATGCACGTTCATCTGCAACATCATTAGAGAGCAAAAAATTTTTCTAAGCTACTACTTAATATAGGTGACGGACAGATTTCGCAAGTTGAAGGAAGAATACATATTCCGGATAGCATTGGCAATATTGTTGGGGATTTAATCACCTTAACTGATAAAATATACCCAAATATCCATCAGATTGAAGTTGGTTGCACTTCGTGGTTAGAAGAAAGCTATTCTCGCTCCAACAAATGACTCCGCAAATATCGTTAACAACTTTCTTTTAGAGAAGCTACCAACTGACCATGTAAAGTATGAATCTGTGGATACAGTAGTAGAAGTAAACGATGTTGTTTATTATCCTGTAGAGTTTTTGCATACACTGAATCCACCCGGAATACTACTTCATATTCTTAATCTTAAAATTAGGAAACTAATAATGCTACTGCGCTATGTAATGGTACCAGACTTTAAATTAAAAGTCTGCATAAAAATGTTATTGAAGCTGCAATTTTAACAGGAAAATATGAAGGAAAAGTTGTATTCATCCCGAGGATTCCTCTTATTCCAACAGATTACCATTTTGAGTTTAAACGTCTTCAATATCCTGTCAGAGTTTGTTATGCCATGACTATCAATAAAGCGCAAGGGCAGAGTTTGAGAATGGCTGGTGTGGATCTGAGAAGTGATTGTTTTTCTCATGGTCACTTTTACGTGGCGTGTTCAAGAGTCAGTTCACCGGACAACTTAGTCATTCTTCAGCCAAAAAGGAAAACGAAGAACGTTGTTTACAGGGAAGTTTTAAGTTTGTAGTTAAATTATTTTATTAACTTTAATGAGAGATACTGATAGTTTATATATTTGAATTAATAAAAAAAATAAATTGTTGTAAAAAATAAAAATTGTGTTAATTATTTACAAAAATTGCCATTGTTTAAAATTGAGAATAATATAATTTTATTACCTTGAATATTGGAAATTATTTGCATTATCTAACACTTTTTATTCATATCACACGACTAGGTTTCAAGATCAAATTTAATCATGTGCCCAGCGAAGCGGGCGGGTATCAGCTAGTTTTTATATCAAAAAATAGGTTTGTATTTTTATAAATTCTCATTTTTCATATGTTATTAAAAGACTATTGTTTCAAATAAAAATACTAATTTGTGGTTTTAATTTCAATAATATTTTTTTGATTACATTTTTATTTATGGTGGGCCTTAATACCCCCAGGGACCTTATAAAGAGTTGCTTCGTTTACTGCTTTTTCAATAAAATAAGATTTTTTAATTAAAATAATCTTGCAGGTTTTTACCAAAACTTATGCGTGAATAAAGGCGCCAATCAAGACGTCTGCTTCGTAGCTAGAGTTCTTCATCCACCAAGCGGCAGATTAATAGAATTATACAGCAATCAGTACGGAGTCCAATTAGATACAGCCAATTCGTTCGGTTACGGCCTCATCCAATCCTTAGAGGAAATAATGTCTGCAGACACGGTCAAAAGCGGCAAGAGCGCTGTGAGCGGTAAGAGCGCTGTAAGTGGCAAAAGCGCCGTCAGCTATAAGAGCGCCGTAAGCGGCAAAAGCGCTGTAAGCGGCAGAAGCGCTGTAAGCGGCAAAAGCGCTGTAAGCGGCAAAAGCGATGCGAGCGGTAAAAGTGGTGGCAACAAGAGCGAAAAAGAGAAAGAAGATGAATACGATCCACAATTACAACTAATAGAGGAAATATATACTAAACTGGCCGATGAACTGCACGAAGAAAAGGTGAGATGATGATTTATCAAGTACTTTTTGTATTTCGTCGGCTTACTTCCAAAACCTCCTAAGTTCGTTTTCTACTGTTTACGAGGTTTTAATACAAACAGATTTAAAATATTATTTAACATCCTACAACGACTTAGAAGGTTTCAATATCGTCCAATGGATATCACTACAATCAAATTAAAACTTAGAACCTTTTACAGGATGTTAAATAATAATATTTTAAATCTGCTTCCATCAAAACCTCGTAAACAGTAAAAAACGGACCTAGGAGGATTTGAAAGTAAGCCGACGATTTTTATCCTTAATTCTTATGGAAATAATGACAAAGTAGGGTTGATTTGAACATTATTAGGTAAATATAAAGAAACAAATCTCAAAGCCAAGTGTCACAATGAAAGGACCGGCCTTTTCTCCCCTGAAAACAACTGAACAGATATTGAATTGCATCAGAAGAAAAAACAGCTGATGTAATGAAAATGAAGAGTTAAGATGGGCTAAATTGGTAGGTAGGAGGATGTACAAAGTAGTGCAGTGGAGTAACCCGTACCCTCCACATGTAACAAATTACTTAAAACTGCTATATTTAAACGCTTATTACCATAACTACAGATATATTTTGGGAAGAAAAACATTCGCAAAAGTTGTTGAAAAAATTAACTTTTGAAAAACTTTAAAGCAAAAAGAACAAATTTGTTTTAACAATTTTATTTTTCCATTGGATCATTTAATTTTTTAAAATTGCAAATGATAATTTATTTTTAATATTACCATCTTCTATTTAAATATTCTCCATGGTTTCTTTCAATGTTACCCTATTTTTAGAATAACGATTATACTGAACTCCGAGACTTCATTGCAATGCTGAGGGCATCTACCAACAAAGTGACGTTGCCGATAGAGGACTCTGTTGTCGATTTCGTTTGTGACGATCTGGAAACTCTGGAAAAGATTTGTCAAACTCCTAAACAGATCAATTATTTGAAATTGATTCAGCAAGCATTAGAAGACATTTCTGACGATGATGAATACATATGGCTGACTGATGTAGTCGATCTGATCATTCAGTACAGCGAAGCTGCGTACAATAAAGAAAAAGCTAGGAAGGGTGCAAGTGCTGGTAAGTATTCTAAAAACAATTTAATTAATAAGATGATTTGTTGTAAAATTTATAGCGTAGTAAATCTAGATATTGTTCTTTCATTTTTGGATTTTTACTTGTCTATCTTTGGCTCCCTATATTATTCTTATATTGCTAGCTGTCTATTTTTAATCCTGTTTGTCATATTATCATTGTTAAAACTTGTTTCGCCCTAGTTTGTATTCAACTAGTCTCATTCAACTAATATTTGGTTCAAATTGGATGTAATAATATAAGAGATCCGTAGACTATCAGTCTCAGAGCGTTTATGTAAACTTCAGACACAGGTTAGTATCTTGACGAATTTATTGAACTAAAAAACATAAATATGTACATAGAATAAATTACACAATAATTTGGAGTACATATCGAAACCAGGTACAATGAATATATGTAAAAATCACAATTATCAAAATTCCCCACAAGGTTAAGTTTTTTTTCTGATTATCTATTGGTTGGCATGGATATGACCCATTTTTGCTAACCCAGTAACCAACTAGGGAATTTTGCTACATGGATAGTTTTATATTTCTAGAAGATATCCTACGAGAATGGATTCCTATGCTGCTCGCTCGATCCCCTTATAGTAAAACTTCAGTGGCATTATATATTTTTTAATTGTCGACATAGTATCCCGCTACACTAATGCACTTGGTCCATCGGTGCTCTAACATCTCAACATCCTCCTGCAAATCATCTCTCTATAGCTTTCATCAGTAAGTTTTCTTTTAATAGGAACAGCCCTTAATCACTGGAGGGCGAGATCTGGTGCTCTACTAATTCAAAGTCTGCTTGGTATATAGCAGCCATGGCAATGCAATATGTATGGGTGGGAGGATTATCCTGATGGAACAGCACAGCGTTCTTTAACTTTCCTCTCCGTTTCTCTTCAAGAGCGTTGTGGAACTTGCCGTTAGTAGTTAGTTAGTCGTTATGGATATATGATGTTATTATAAAAAAGAAAGATTGTCAAGTTGATTTTAAGAGGTCAAAAATAAAAATGATTAAATTAGACTCTTGCCTTTTGGTCGTTCGTTATTGCCTAGCCACAGTCCCTTCAAGCGTCTTGCAATTTAGAAATAAATTGTGCGTAATAGGCCCACTGTAACGCTCCGTTCCTTTTACAAATATTCAGTCAGGGTGATTCCGTGAGCATCCTAAAACACAACCTGCAAAACCTTTTTAGCAGAAGGCACGACCTTGAATTTACGTGAAGGAGAAGAACAGCAATGTTTCCTTTATTTACTTTGCGCTTTGGTCTCGGGATCATAGTGGTGCACTCATCACTCGTCCATGGTAACATATCGACTAGGAAAGTTCTCTTTGTTTGCTTAGTACCTTTTCAAAAGTCGCTCATAAGTCAACATCCGATTTCTTTTTTGATTAATGGTTAATATTCAGGGCACCCATCTAGCACTCATGTTTATAATATCTAATTCTTCATTCAGTATGTGGTGCACCACATGATATTGTTACGAATAAATATATAAATATATAAACCACAACTGCAATACAAGTAAATCAACCCACGATGTAAGCCAGATGATAATGGGAAGTTATACCTCACATATTTCCACGTCCGACGGGTCAACCACGGTCATCCGGCGAAAATCACAGTCCTATTCTTTCCTTATCACGAGTTTCGATAAATGCGACAGGCCTGCATGACTTCACATCCTGTCTCTTGATGGAAGCTGACACCCTGAGCGAAGTTGGGATTCTTGGAAAGTGTTAACCAGCAGAGTCGGACTAGCCCAGTGTCAACGGACGAAATAATTGTTATCCGAAAAACTATATAAATTTTTTGTATTGTAAAATAAATTTTTGAGGTAGTACATAGTAGGGTAGGATTAGTCACTAGATATCAAGGGTCGAGGGCGACCCTTTTCCGGGGCGAATGCACATGTTACGAATAAATATAACACTCTGTGAATAGGTATGTGTTATGATTTGAAAGTTTTGTCCAAGGACAGGCGCGCTAAACAAATATTCAATAAAATAATAAAACGTGTAGTTGGACAAGGTTTTATTAAATCATAATATTAAAGTACAGGGTCAAGAAAGATCAACAAGAGCACTCTTAAAAGATTACAAGTGAATATTCGGGGAGTTCCTTTTGGTCTTCGTTGACGAGTGGTCGAAATTATTCAAATTAAGGAGATTCCTTTTTTTGTGTCCGAAAGTAGAGTCACGGGTCGCGATTAGTTTTTTTTTTGTAGAACCATAGTGATAAAAGTAACGTGTGCTTCCGCCAGCCTTGCAGCCCAACAGATAGAATACAATGCTTATGTAAGTAAATAGTTTTAAGTAGTTTTATTTAGTTATTGTGCAGTTAGTAAAGACTACGTGATTGCGGAAGCAATATTAGTTGTTTTGATTTGTTAAATAAACCACAGTTATTTGTTTTACGCTTCAATTCTCTTTGGTTTAGAAAAACTTACGATCATTCAAAGGTGGGGGTATTGGCTTAATCCGATCTCTGAGAGGGAGATACTACCCTTTCCCCGTCCTCTGAATTATCGTCAGGAAATTAGGGTTCCTTCTGAACTTAACCCCCTAGCCGTGTGTTGTCTAGAGGCCAATTTACAAATTGGGCCACTCTATACAACTCGTGGTAACCGCTAAGAGTGGACTTAAGGGTCAGTCAAAAAGGCCTATAATCTCACTCTTAACAATATATTAAGCCAGTATCTTCCACAATGTCCCTAATGCGTACTCATCGGTCTTGCAGTACGATATTGTGTATTTTTTCAAGGTTTTTTTATCTGTTGTTACCGTTATGGGATGACCACCACCATGCTAGTTTTCACATGAAGTTCTTTTGCATTTAACATCTCGACACCAACGCTTGACTATGTTATAAGAAACTGAAAACTCTCCACAGTTGCCACAATGTCTTCATCAATTTGAGTTGGCGACATGCCTTTTTTATTACGGCTCTTTGTACTACAGGGTCCATTTTGATGAACAATCACGACACACGACAGTTCAAGAATTAGCTACAGCACAACAACGCTTTACGATACAATATTAATATTTTGTAGATATGATGATCCTGTGATCTTAATTTAGTATGGAATGTTGTGTTCTGAGTCTGATTCGATGGTCCTTTATTTATTAACAGTTTCTCAAAGAGTTTTTATAGGTACAATGAGTTTTGATCTTTTGTAGACGAGTCACGCCAAGTACCCCCCACACCACCACCCTCAGTAGCAGCGACATCTCTACAATCGAAAATAAAAAAACCCAAATCTCCCAACGACATACCAACATACTATCAAACGGCTGACAGAGTTATAGGAAAAAGTCGAAGACTGTACACGATGCACGGTGGTATAGCTCTCCAAACTCAGAATTATCCCAATTGCGCGAACATCGAGCATTTTCCCAATTGTATACTAAAACCTGGCGACAAGTATACACATAGTATCACTTACAAGTTTTGGATAAGATCCGGGAATCCCAGTAGGTGGATCAAGAGGAACCAACGTGAAATGACTCAAATGCAAAAAGATACCGCTTGAAAATGTTAATGTTTTGCGACTGTTATGTATGTGAAATAAAAATGTTTTTTGTAGTAAAATAAGTCAAATAATAAGAAACTATTTGCACACACATTTTTATTCAGCTTTTTTAATTATTCGATACTTCTAATTCTATCGATAAGTAATTTTTGCACTATCAATTAATAGATCAAACGACTTACCTGAAAGAAGTTCGATCCTAACTATGCGAGCATCCTTATTAGTGGAAATAAAGATAACCATGTAGTATACCTATGTTACGCCACTGACCTACATGTTCAGATTTATAATTTTGTTATCCCATAATGCTGCCTGCCTAAATTACTCATTAGCTGTTGTGGAGCCTAGGAGTTTGGGGTTAAAAATAATATAAAGTAATATGGTGGGGGTGGGACTTTATTTCCACTAACAAGGATGCTACTCATAATTAGGATCGAACTTCCTTCACGTAAGTCGTTTGATCCATTAATTATGCTTCACCTCCTTGTTAGTGGAAATAAAGATAACCATGTAGTTGTTTAGAGGATGTTCTATTCAAAATAAAACTAGCTTTTTGCTTTCTACGTAAATGTATACAATAGAATATGCAAAAAAATATTACTATACATTTCCCACAAAATTAACAATAATAATTAATAATAATACTAATGAAATCATAAAACAACGTAATAAAAAATAATATTGAATTTTAACAATCCAGTTTTATAATTTTTTAATACTTTTGCGAACGTTGGTTTTACGTCCTAATTGTAAAACTTGTTAAACACTACTGATCTCTTTGTCCTACAGTTTTTCTAATGGTTTCGATATCGACGCAGATTATGAGGACAGTCGAGGTAGAGTACGATTCAACTAAGAAAAAGCCACACACATCATACCTGACAAAATCCGCAATAATTTGTCTCTCTCTCAGGTCCATCCCATTTAAGCATCAGAGGCGTTTTGGCGATTTTTTTCGTTTTTCTAATATAGAGATACAATTGCTTAATAATTTGGCAACGCTGTACGACTGGCGCATGGTCCAGAATATAATTCGAACAGAAGCTATCGGGTTAACATGGATCCCTTATTATTGTGAGCCAAACTTCGGCGTTGCCAAGCTTTTACTTACGAACAAAAATACGGGTTCATCGGAAGAAAGTGAAGACAGCGAGAGCACTATACTCTGTTTTTAAACTAGGAGGCGCGAATTGAAAAGACGCATTTACACAGGGAAAAGTAACTAGATTTGTTACTAAGAGCGAGTTTCGAAATATAGCCGTGTTCAAAATTTATGAAATAATTATCTTTATCAGCCTTAGTCGGTGAACGGCCAATGAGCGGTTAAGAAACGAATAAATGTCATAGAAGTAATTTTTTAATTGGTCCCAGACAACGGTCGCAAATTTCACATTATTGTGATCTGAAATGTGTGTCTAAAACGAATGTCACTGTCAAATTAAAGTCAATATGGTTGTTGATTGATGTCAGAAATACTTTTTTCTTGCTTTTGAAATCGACTTTTTGAGAATAACTATGATCTTTTTAAAATGGATATTAAATATTTAAGAAAATTGTTAATGGAATATCCAGATGTAGCTAGGTTAGTATAAAATATAAAGATCTGTTTACATTTTTAAGGATATATTTGTTATAGGTATAAAAAGTAAAAGTTAATCAGTGAATGACAAGTGGATCACACAGTAACTGGTATCTCTTCTATGAGTAATGTGGATATTATGGCTTATTTAGTGTTAACCCATGGTTGATGCGCTAGAGGGCAAATAAAGGCATTCAAAAGTTTACAGGCCTATGAGTCAGAATTTGTTTTGAAAACTGGAACCAACATTTTCATAACACTACATGTCAACATATATTTTTTAAAGTGAACTATTCATACATACCTATGTATTAATTTTAAATATTTTTAAAATATTTTTTGTGAAAGTAATGTTAACTCATTGTGCCAAATTAAGATTATCCCTAAAGTAGTAGATGGTGTTTTAAATGTTATAACAATTTTGTAAATAGTTTTATTCTATTCTGATGAAAATGTTGTATTTTTAACAGATTTTAGGTTCCCTCATTATTAATTATTGTATTGTTGTAATTTGTGAAAATTGTAAGTAGGTTTAGGTTCGTTTTAATAACATTAGCTCTGGCCAATTGATCTGAGATCAAGGCCATCATACAAAACACACACGCAAATAAAATTTGTTTGAATATTTAGTTACATTTTGATTAGAAATTCATCAATTTTTAGTTTTAAAAAATCAGTAATAAAATTATTTTTTTCTAAAATACTTCGGAATTCATCTCTTCATGATAATCTCCCATCTTTTTACCTTCAAAAACCAATAATGCATTTTCTACAAAACCTTCAGAATCAGCATGTAAAATAATAAGGTGTCTTCCCTTTCTTGTAAGGCTTTTCAGGAATTGCTACCTTTAATAGTACTCAGTGTAGAAGGATCCATAATTGTAGATTTTCAACACAATTGATTACTGAAGAACTATTATTTACGAAATAAAGTAAAAAACTAAGTAATGGATGAGATATCAAATTAAAAAAGGGCAGAACTGTCAACAATATCAATTATTAGCTGATGTTCATGCTAAAAAGTAATGTGTGAAACTGACTGTAATCTGACCAATCAGAAGGCTACAGAATTGCCAACTTAAATTAAAATCGCTCCTCTTAGTTTAAAAACAGAGTATAATAGTTCATTAACGGAAGAACTAGGATTTACTCCTCTAGTTTCACTTTTTGCACTAGTTGCATAAATAACTATTATTTTAATTGTAATAAACGTCTTAAATTACAAAATTGTGTTGCTATTTTTATTTACTTCCCACTGAATGTTTTGCAAGTCTAAAGTCGAAAAATATATATGTAATGTTATTTTAGTATATCGATCTGGAGCAACGGAGAGGTGAGGCAGACGATGACTAGTTGATGACGCCCGTGGCTTTTTCTAAGTTGAATCGTACTCTACATACGTATGTGTACTAAGTGCTTGAGCTACCTACCCAATGGTTTGGGGAGATACTGGAAGGACTGGAGCGTTAGTGGTTAGAATAAAAGGTTCTGAAGACCTGTAAGACTTTGTTTTTTCTTTTTCCCCATAAAATAAAAATTATTTTTGCCGAGCATAAATTGAGATAATTCGAGGGAGAATGAAAATAGTAATAAAGGCTGAGCTCGTTGTAGAGTCGAAGTTTTAGCATTTCATCAATGAAAATTTGAATATTGTCAGTTTATAAATATAAGATCAGAGTGAACACATAAAATAGCCTTCTTTGTATATTTATTTGGCTTAAATGCAGAATTTACACATAAAATAGCATCTTTTCAACCAAAGTTTTATAACATTTACACATTAAGTAACATTTTTCGAGTTGCAGTTTATGAGTATAAGATCAGAGTTAACACATAAAGTAGCCTTGTCTGTACATATATTTGGCTTAAATAATTTACACATAAAATAGTATCTTCTCAACCAAAGTTTTACAAAATTTACAAATTAAGTAGCATTTTTCGAGTTGCAGTTAGCCGAATTTTCAGTTTATAAGTATAAGATCAGAATTAACACATAAAGTAGCCTCCTCTGTACATGTCTTTTTCTATAATGCAGAATTTACACATAAAGTAGTATCTGCCCTCATCAAAGTTTTGAGAAATTTGCACATTAAGTAGCATTTTTCGTTTTGCAGATAAAGTAGTATTCTCTGTATATTTATTTGTCGTCTAATGCAGAAATTTACAAATAAAGTAGTATCTTCTGCAAGCTAAAAATCGGTTAAATAAAAAAAAAACATTATTTTCCTACCTGTGCTCTGAATTTCTTCATTTCTTTTTCAATTCATATTTCTGAGACGATTTGCGATTTCGATAGTTTTTACCTATGTTTTTATAATTTCTGGAATGTAGTCGGTCTACACAATGTGAATCACGCGACACAAAAATTGGTAATGTGTAATTTAGGCAGGTAGCGATATAGAATAACATAAAATTTGAAATCTGAACATGTGGGTCAGTGGCGTTACATAGGTATGGTTATCTTTATTTCCACTAACAAGGATGTGAAGCATAATAAAAGGTATGCGGTCCCAATTACGATGTGCCTCTAAAAGGAATCAAGCGTCTTGTGCCATTTTTGCGAGAAGGAAATCAAGCGACAAAGCTTAATTGTTATTAATATATTTAGAAATGGGATAGTCTCTTATTTGTAATGCTACTTCTTCGGCTACAACTATAAACTGTAACTTCTTTTTTCCTAAAACGATGATTGGTTTCTTTTAGAGTAGCGTTTGTAATATAATACAGGGGCTCTTAGACTACCAGCCTAATAGTATTTATATAGAGATATCGAACAAATATTGATATATTGACCAATTTATTGAGTATGGTGTCAATACAATAAAATTTCCCATTCACGTTAGAGGCCATGATAAATGTCTAAGCTGATTTTTAGCTTGCGTGTTTTGTAATAAGAGTGAAAATTGACATCCATTTTGTTATTAGTTGTTAGTGAGTGAGATGATTAATTTCTAGATTAAAATTGGGAACAAAACTTTGACAAGCATCTAGTTCTGTTAGGACAGAACCGGTTTTGTAAATTTTTCGTTTATGAAATGTTGAGGTTAAAATTTAACTGAATGCAATTTTTGATGACGTCTTTGTTGTCATGGAACTAACTAAATTTACCTAACAATTGTTCATTATTTCCTGTTTCTATTTGTTCTGAAAGTAAAAGGCCAATAGGCCTAAGTTATTATTGTAAGCCAGCGAAGATATAGTTCGCGGTCTTTTTCGCGGCTGCTATAGTTTGATGTAAATTATTAAAAGAGTATTAAATTTATGGTTTCACCAGAATCTAAAGTCTCCACTTATATTCCTCAACAGTAATTAATAAGTTAATTTTACTAAAAGAATGACTCACCTTACTTTCAGTCCTGAACGTCAAAATACTACTGGGCATACCAACGCCGTGCATATTAACAGCTTCGACATAAACTTCGTAATCGGTTTCGCTTTGTAAATCTTCCAGAATATGAGGACTGTGCACCTTCCTGATAACTGTAAAGTCCATATTTTCATCGTCGACTTCTCGTACGAACACATTATAATAAATGGCCGTATCGCCGAGAGTTTTTGGCGGCGACCAGTGCAAAATAGCGAATTCCGTTTCGATATTGGTAAGTCTGAATTGGGTGGGAGCGCTCGGAAGTACGCCGTATCCTTGGAGGAGACAATTCGTGTATTCGCTCATGTATCGGAGGCATCTGAAATTTAAATCACATAAAGATGTCAAATATTATTACATTGTTATAAAAAAAGCTAATAGAAGTACAAACAGTGCTTTGGTTTAATTACCAATGCAAACTCCGGATATTCAGCGACAACAGAAAACCAATGAGACAATTACTGGGGTTGCGGTTCAAATATAAGTTATATTTTACAGAGTTAAATTTACATTACATAAATATGTGAAATGTGGTTAATTCAATAAAAACTAAGGTAATTTGAATTTAAAAAACTTACTTAAATTACGAAGAGTTAGGAAATAGAAAAAACGATAAAAACGATCAAACAAGAACTAACAATAGATATGTCGTAGGAGAAATGGAATGGAACTTTGTAATGGCAGAATGGACTGTATGGATTTTCTATGTGCTGTCGAGGAACTAGCGAGTCCGAGACCATGACGATAATGTGGTGATTATTAATTTTACTCATCAGCCCTGTCTTGTCCCATCGCAGTTCTTCATAGCATTGACTACCCACCTTCAGAAGTCTATAGAACACCTTAGTCTCCCGTTCCAGCAGAATGTGGAGAGGGGTTAGGTCCAGCATGGTCTTCATGGCTCCCGTAGGTGTGATTGACATTGCTCTAGTTATGGCGAGGCAAGTAAGCCGTTGTATTCAAGCCAGCTTTGCTCTGGCCGTCCGTTGAAGTCCCTTGTCGAATCAGATGATAGAGCCGTAAGTAACCATGGGTTTTACTACTGTTTGGTAAATTTAGTATATTAGTTAAGGACTGATCCCCTATGCTTTGCCGCATATCCTTCAAAGGGTCCGGAGGGATAATCTGGCTTTGTTAATGGTTTTATTGGGGGTTCCAGGTGAGTTTCTTATCTAGGATGATCCCCAGATATTTCACCTCCTCTGCAAAAGGAATGGTTTCCCCAGTCAAGGTAGGTTGTCGAAACTTGTCGAGCTTTCTTCTCTTGGTAAATGGGACGATAACAGTTTTGCGGGGATAAACAGACATCTGCTTCCTCTCGCACCATCTGTTGATAGTATTAAGGGCTTGTTTAATATTTAGATCGTCCGCATAGCATTGGAAATCCACCCCCTACCGAGAGAGATGGTCTATCAGGTTATCCATCAGAATTGTTCATAGGATAAGGTGAAAGTACGCCGCCTTGTGGACATCCTCTGGCAGGCCTGGAACTGAACGTCTCTCCCTGCAATGATGTTCCATTTTGCCAGCATGCTTGTTATCCAATTACAAGTTAGTTTGTCTATTCCTCTTCTTTTAATAGAAGCGAACAAAGACTGAAGAAGGGCATTGTTAAACGTGCCTTTTATATCTGGGAAGGCACCTAACGCAATCTCCCCGTGATATAGGGAATTACCGATTTTGCCTACTAGATTTTGCAGGTAGGCATATTGGGAGGAGTTTACCGGACTTGCCCAAAGGCTAATATGCTTAGTTTGAACCATCTCTAGTGTTTTTAGAAGAAAGGATGTTAGGCAGATTGGACGATAAGAGTTTGGTAGGCAGGTATCTACTCTACCAGCCTTGGGTATATACACGACTTTCGCACTCGTTTATCCTAGCGGGATATAGCTCCACGCCAAGCTTGCTCTAAACAGCCTCACAAGGAGGGGTGGTAGCAGTAGTTCCTGTCCTTTTTGCAAAAGGGCAGGAAAAATGCCATCCTCTCCGGGTGATTTGAAGGCGGAGAATGAATCCATCGCCCATTTCATGGCGTTTGGAAAGACAACTTGTGCAACAAAGTTCCAATCCTCTTTTTTGGGTCGTGCGATCGATTCCCTTAAAGGAAGGGGTATATGTTGGCTGTCCTCCAGGAATTGACTGCCTGGGTAGTGTTTCTGTAAAATAATCTCTAGAGTTTTCCTATCAGAGTCCACTTCTTCCACGATTCTCGTTTGGCATTTCTGATCTAATAGAGGTTGAGTTCGTAGTAAAAATTCCGAATTAATAATGAATAGGCTATGCGCTTAAAGTTTGAATTAGTAGTTCTGATGATTCAGGATTCCTTCCGCTAACAAAGCTATATTAGAGAGTTGAAGTTTTTCCAGTACGTTAACGTAAACATGATCGTCAACGTAGAAAAATAATGTTTACGTTGAAGTCCAAAATATGAATGAGTTGACGTAGTTAAACGTATCGTGCCATGAGTTAATGACAACTAATATTAGGATTTCTTCTTTCCCAATTAAAAAGAGGTTATTTTGTTTGCGTTACGTGCATACGCCAGAGCCCGTAAGCTTACGTATTTACGTAGACGTGAACATAAGGGATATTTGAACACGCATGCGCAGATTTCAGTTTTCACGTACACGTTTACGTTCATCATCACTTCAACTCTCTATTATATCTCTGTATTTCAGGTATAACCTAAGTAGCTCAGAACCAATAATTTATCGCGAACATAGGTAGAACCAATAATTCAATTTTTTTTTGTTCCACGAACCTTTTTAACTACTGCGCATGCGAAATCGTTACTATTTGTTATAATTATGTTTAGGATTTTTTTCTGGAATGAATCTAATATTTAATAAATTTATCGCATCGGCGCATATCCGTATGTTTGAAACGAACATTTTTTTATTTGAAGAAGGCAGTAGGTACCGTATGAACCGCTAATAGGTTCGTTTGACTAGGTCGAAAGTTTTTTCTTTTAGCGCTCCGCTTCGCCAAAAAAACTCCAAGAACTTTAGATTCTTAAAAATAGCCACCAGGTAAGTCTCCCCTAATATTATTGGCATCTTCAGTATTTTAGTATTAAAACTTGCAGCCAGAAGTGAGTTAAATTCAAGGGATAATTTTACATGGTCCTTCGAACGCGGATATGAAGTTCTTTTGTTGCTTTGTTAATAATGGGTATTTTTTTAGTTAAATTATATTAATTTTCGTCAAAAAATCAATATTGTGAGATCTTAAGGATAAGTTTTTCGCAAATTTCTAATGATTAGTCTTAATTTTTTTCAAACATCAACTTTTAAAATTGAAAAATATTGATCAGTGTCCCTTTTAATAACCATTATACAAAAAAATGCATTTTAATCAACAGCTGCTTTTTTGTAAATTTTCATTTCAGAAAATGTAAAATATTCCAAACCTATAAAATTGCTACAAATTGGTTTATAAAAATAGTTTTATTATTTGACTTAGATTTAATATTCCTTTAATAAATATTATGAATAAAAACAAACATTCAAAACTTGATTTCGAATAAAGTATTACTGTTAATATTTATTATTAGAATCCTATGAAGACACGCTGAATACACTTCACGTTCCCGCGTCAGTAGCATATTCACTTTTATTTCCCCGCAACGAGTCCCCTGGTGCTGAATTTCCGGAGCATTTTCCTGAATATTTAAGGAGACTTAGTCATTCCGACATAATTGTATTTCCTTCCAGTTAGTCATGAATATACACGAAGTGTTTTCGGCGGCCCTCACCGAAGCAATGCCGTAATTATTTGTTTTATTTTGGTTGGCTGGAGTGTTAGTAATCTAATTTTTCTCCGCAATTTTCATTAGATTAAAGATTTTGTGTCTGCTTTGGGCCGAATTAGAATATCGTATTAAACATTTAATGGTAAATTTTTGACGGATTTTTTTTTTATAAGGTTCATCACTTAAAATTGACGGGTAAATAATAATTTTTTCAGTTCCTACCTACAGGAAACAAGAGAACTGACTAATAACTGAAAGAAATACGGTCAAGTATTAATAATTATATTATGATAATAGGTAATAAATTATATAATATTAAAAATAAGATGGTTATTAATCGAAACATATATTTCGTTAAAACGGTTAAAATATTGATTCTACGTATATAAAAACAGGTATACTTGTATGAGTAATTTGAATAGTATAATTAGAAGATGGTTTTTTGTCGCTCAGCTATAATGTAAAAGTCAGATGGACTGAGAGCGTTTAGCGGCAAAGGCCACATAGGTTTGAAGGTATTTGAACATTATCTGGTGAGAGGTTTTCTCAATTGGTTAGAAATACTCTCACTTGTGACGTTCGAACTGGATATGCTCGGGCGCCAGTTTGTTTTAGAGTGGTTTGCTCCACTTTACCTATTGGAACTAGTTCCAAGAAGGACTGCAGGTGCCTTAGTGCTTCTGACTAGTCGGTTCTCCCTAAAGCGGAAAATACAGAGACACGGCGGGGAGTGGAGAGGAACGGAAGTAAAGTGCAACAGAGAACTTGCAAACCTAGCTACAATCTAACGGACCACAAGATTAATATCCTGGCGACGCAACTCCTGAGAATGACGGTCCAGGCTATGCAACCTCGTATAAACCAGATACTGGGAGCGAAGCCGAATCAGCCCATTCTACCACGCGGGATAGTCACTATACATCGACTTACAATTCAGAGTCCAGTCAACTGGTCGAGAATTTACTAAAAATCTAACTAACGGTGGGGACAGGGACCAGAATCAAATAAATCAAAACAACGTTAATCGCAATAAAAAAACAATATTGTAATTATTAATACTCACTTAAAGTAATTAAAATCAATGCTCGAAACGTTTCCAGTGCACAACTGCTGACAGATATCTGGTAGCCCCCTAGCTCGACAACATGGCGTATGATCCATACCGTTTGCCAAACAGCCAAAAGTATCGGCAGCCCATGGGGCGCATATCATCAGATCGGTGATTTCCACCGAAGAAGCCATTACTGGGTCACATAGTTTAGTCATGCAGGTTTTGTGAACGATGCCCTTATTCGAGCAGCAGCTTTTGATGTCCGGTAGTTGGGGCGCTTGACCTGTGGTTGTTTGTTTGATGTTTCCAGGGGTTAGCGTTAAGGAACGGACGCTGTAACTTGGAAGGCTGCTTCCGTGGGTATTGACGGCAGTAACTGAAAAACAAAAACAATTTGTTAACTTCAAAATGATATTTTTAAGGTCTAATTGTGTATGATAACCGTATGCGCAAATCAAGAGTAAAATTCAAAAATATAGTATTTAAAATTCAATTTTTTAGCTATATTAAAAATAACAGTTACTTTAGGTTCGTATTACTATCAGGGCCGACTAAAGTAGGGGGGTAGCCGGGACTAATTCCCGGGGCCCGGGCTCAAATGGGGGCCCGGCAGCAATGGTCAATGGTGTTTTTTACTTTCAGAAATTTGACACAAAAGGGGAAGTCCTTACAACCTTTTTTTAACCTTTTTTTAATCTTTTTTTTAACCTTTCTTTTTAAACCTTTTTTGACCTATTTTTGACCTTTTTTGACATTTTTTACCTTTTTTTTTTGGCGTTTTTGACCTTTTTGGCCTTTTTTGACCTTTTTTTAGAGAAATTCAAGTAGGGGAGGAGAAATTTTTGCGTAAAAGAGGAGGAGAAATTTTTGTTTGATGACCTTTTGTTATTTAATGTTTTATAAAATTGTCGCGGGGCCCGTCTGGAGAATTGTCCTGGGGCCCGGTCTGACTCTCAGCGGCCCTGGTTACTATTGATTATTAATTCATTTATTATTTTTAATTAAAACTATTTCAAAAAATGAGAAAGGCAACAATGCCTAGTTATAATGAAGAATGAGGATTACCTACCTAAAGTGGAAGCATTTTTTAGTAGGTAACAATGATTTTACGGTTTTAAATAACAAGGTTTTAAAAAAATTCATTGATTTAATTAAAAAATTAACAAATACAGATTTTAACTTTTTCAAAATCTTATTTACCCTGCCTATACGGCCTACCTAAAGTCCCTTTAACACTTCTATAAACTTTAAAAAAAAATTTTTTAATTTTCTCATAATATAAATTATTCTCACCTGTAATTTCATACATCGTAAACGGTATCAAGTCCTGCAAAACGGTACTACGTTGACTTCCAGGTACTTTCACGGACACGCTGTGTCTAAAAGAACTCCCATTTTTACTGGAACTATCGAAATCCCTTTCATCGAAGCTTTTCAAAGACGTTACGTTCACAACGAATTCGGTTATAGTTTCGCTATTCGATGTCGATGGTGACCACACCACGCTAAGAGATTTTTCAGTAAGTGCTTCTACTTCTACGTTTTCTGGAGGACTTGGAAGAAGCTCTGAAAGTAAAATATACGTTCAAGATGGGCGTTTTTGTTAAACTACTTTTATTTTATATTAACAAGAGTGTAAAAAGGGCCATTGGATCAACCAATGATTTGAGTATGATAAATCTTAGAACTAAATATACATGGTGACAATTTAAAAACCTACTGTGGTTATATTTCATGAATCAAAGCAAAGATATGAAGGGGGAGCTTAAATGGAAAACCGCCTACTTGACATACATTACTAAAAAGGTAGTGAAAAATGTTTTTCAATGATATAAGTTATAATATAATATTTGATTGATATGCATACAAGAAGTTAGTTGCCTATAAAAATAAATTCCTTTCAGTACTCTCTAGTGTTATATTATTGATCGATGATAATAAAAAATATTAAAAATAAATCTTACCAATTCCTTCAACAATGCACGCCAATGTTTGCTCCGTATACGACGAGCACGAGAAATGCGTCTTGATATTATCGGTAATAGCGGTGTATTCTCCTCTACAGACATCTTGACATATATCTGGAACCCTTTCCTGGATGCAACACGGCACGTGATTCCTGCCGTCGGCCATGCAGCTGACGATCGACGGAAAATCTGATTCGCACTGCTCCGGATCTTGTCCAGTCGTGCCTGAAAAGTGGTCTGACATTTTATATGCAAATACTGCCGTACGTTCGAGCGGAAGCTACAGTAACGATGATTAGTAGCTAAACTAAAAGCGGGATTAGGTAATTAATTAATGGAAATGAAGTGAAGTGAGAAAGTCGGTTTAGATTCGAAAAAGTAAATGCAGATTTTGAAATGCTGAAAATGAAAAATTCCTAATTTCCCTTACGAAAAAAGTGAAAAGAAACCAAAGAAAAAAAATTTGTTTTATTGGTGTTTTTGGCTTTAGCCTAGTGTTCTATGTAGGTTATGGAATGTATTAGTATTCTAATACTCCATGAAAAAGCTGAGAAATAAAGAAAGAAAAAATGTGTGCGATACTGGGAGTCGAACCATTTTCGAATGCGTCATCACCATATTAACACTGCTGATCGATTCTGTCTATCGACATTGTTCATCAACAAGTCTACAAAACTGCATCTGTCCACACCAGAGTTGACAAAAATGTTTCTCGATCAGTCGACGTTAAATTCATTAGCAATTTCCATAAGGGTATCGAGCCTCAAGTTTCTGCTCTTATAGTTTTTGTTTTTAGAATCCCATAGATTTGTTTTCAGTTTGTAAGCTTCAATAAAAGCTATGACTTTATCTTGTTCCCATTTCATTTCTCCAACGAAAACACAATTACAATGTCAACAATGCAAGATGTTACTGAGTACTTAGTACTCAGTACTAACAGTTTGTCGGATGTCGAACGTCGAAACCACGTCCACACACTAAAGTCAATCGGCTGCTCTTTCATGTTTACCGACAAGCGATGGAAAACAAATCGACATGTCGATCGATTTATTTTGTCGATCGACACCGTCGATTACCGCGTACACACAAAGTCGACAACGTCGATAGACAAAGTCAATCGACAGTGTTGATGGAGGACGCACCTTAAATGTCACACGCGACATTGATGATATGTCGAACAAGAACACAAAAACGTATTCTCAAATGGCGAATTCGACATTTGTTGTTAGACATATAGTCGAGTGGTATTCAACCAGTCGACATTTTAATGTCGCATACCTATAATGTTACAAGATGAGTGTTGTGATGGTAATAATTTATGTTTATTTTTAATAAGTATTGTATGAATTGTTTAAAAAAAATTTGATTTGATTAATTACAATTTCACCTAATTTATCAATCAATAATCCTGTTTATCCAAGAGACTTAATTCCTGTCATTAAGAGAAATTGAAATTGAAAAATTATTATAATAATATATATCTTTTTCTTTCAATTTAATCTCTTACCAAATTGCATTTCCAATTTTCTATTTAATCTCTCATGAAATTTCTGTTAAAAAGACTATATTATATTTTCTCTACTTTCTAATTAGTATTTATTAAAAAGATATACAGGATGTTTTTAAATTCATGCAACAAAATTCAGGAGGTGATTGCTCGTATGAAATTAAATGGGTCTTTCCTATAACAAAATTGCCTCAGCCCACCCCTTTCCGAGATATCACCCTTAAAAGGTGGTGACTAAAATTGAGTTTTCATTTTTTTCTAAAATTTTAGTAAAGCTAGAAACTTGAAATTTTGCTGAACCGTATTAAAAATAATGCAGGGCTATTGAAATCTCACCTTCCAAAATACTTTGTATATTGCAGAATCCCAAACAAGCTGAGGAAACATTCTTGGTAATACAACAATCTGTATAATTATGGTTTCTGCTACTGATTTGTCTTTGGTCTTCCACTGAAGTGGATGAATCAGTTGTGGTTATGTTCGGAGGAAGCATCGACTTTGACAAAACTGAAAAACAAAAAAGACAAAAACTAAAGTAACAACGTACAAATATACAATTGTATCAGTGGATTTTTGTTTATTTGCAAGTATTATTTGTAGAGTAATCATAATTATAAATCATGAACAAGCATCAATGGTATTTCAGTGATAATTATGTTTTTCTAATTTTGACATATAAAGGGACATTTTTTGTAATCGCAGCAAGTGTCAAAATGATCTACTTTAGTAAAGGTCGATGAAACTAACAAAGATAGCTAGCAAGTTATTGATAAAATAAAATATCTTATATAGACTATAAAAAATCAGATGAAAGAATAAAGGACACAGTTATCATTTGATAATTTTTTTAAATAAACTTTTATTAACAGTTTAAATTTACATACTTACCACTTAATTTATGAAAACTTCTTACTATCGGACTACTATTTACTTCACATACATATACTCCTGAGTCAGATGGCTTCGAATTTTCAATGACTAGTACCCACACGTCGCCTCCTGATGGTAATTCGGGAGGACCTCCAGGTTTACTGGATATAGTATCTGAAACAATAATTTAGCATATTTGAATCATTCTATTTCGTCAATAAAAGAAACAAAAAACATGGTTTATAACAATTCTGAAGAAAGATAACCTAGTAATTTTATTTTCAAACATTTAAAAAAAAACTCATGCATTGTGGAACTTTTAACAAATCAGAGACAAAGAATTATGATATTGACGATGCTGTTCTACCAATTACAACATCATTACAAAATATAAAACTATGTGAACTAAATTTTCAAATTGATGTTCATTATTTGCAATACATGAACGACATCGTTTGGAAACATTCCAAATTGTATTATAAATATGGATATTGTAGATGGAATTAACATACTGTATAAAATTTTGCATTAGTTCGTCAATATTATTAAAAGTATTTTTGTATAAATTGTCTTTAATATATCCCCAAGAGAAAAAATCTAGGGGCGTTAAATCTGGTAGCCACCTTACCGCTCCTTTTGTCCCTATCCAATTGTCTCTAAAATGAATATTTAACAATTCAGAGACGTTTCTAGTATTGTGAGGGGGTGTCCCATCGTGTTGAAAAAATATATCTAGTCTCTCATTCAGCGTTAAGTCGTCCAAAAAACCAACGAATATGTGTTCGTTTAAAATTTGCGTTCCAACCAAACATAGGACCGTTCGGGAAACGGTTTCTACCAAACTAAAAGTCTATACCACGGCCTTCTAAAGAAGAAAAATGTTCCATCGTGTTTGAAGAAATATAAAAATTTAAGAATCATCGTAGACTGCACAGAAATTTTTGTTCAACGTCCGAAAAATCTCTGCTGTCAAGTAGCAACATATTCCAATAAAGGGTCACAAACAGTTAAATTCATGACAGGTGTTTCACCAGCTGGAAAAATTACTTATGTTAGCAAAATGTATAGTGGAAGAGTCACTGATACAGTAATTTTCGATCAAAGTGATTTACTCCAATTATTGGAACGTGGTGATGGTATTAGGGTCGATAGAAAGTTTTTGATTGAAAAAACTTGTCAGAAGAATCGATGGACAATGATGAGATTCCATTTTTGAGAGAAAAACGAGCATTTAGTAAAAGTGGAGCTACTCTATTCTTGGGACAAAAGCACCAAGTGAAGTGTTACCGACATTAGAGGATATTTTCAAAGTGATTTGTACGACTGTAAATCTCAGTTCACCAATTATAAATGATAAACAGTTTATGCAAGATGTATAAATATGTATTGGTTTTATTAATTCTTCATTATAAGCTGGAATTGTACATTGAAATTTTTTTTAAATTTATTTATAAATCAATTAATTACACATTAAACATATAAATTTGTAACTTTTGGAACTTTCGTTATCAATCTAAAACACTTTCCTCACGCAACACCATTGTTGTTTTCTTTATCGCTATTTTTGATTTGACACACATGGTGCAACATTTTATTATAATATATTCTTTTTAAGACACTCAACATCTCGTTTAAATAAACATCATTTTTGATGACTTTAATCGAAAAATAATGTTTGTCGTACGATGAATAAATCACAAATAATCCTACTCTCAAGTTTAAAATAGCCATGCCTAGCTGAATCTGACCATAATACAAATGTTTTTCTTTTAAATATATAATATTGTCATCTTTCTTAACTAGATATTTTTTAAATAAGCTATCGATTGTTTTTTCAATACCTTAAGTCTTCCCAATAAATGGGCATTTAATTTCCAATAACGCGGTTGGTACACCATTGTCGATTATTACACCATCAGGTGAATATGCCAAACATGGATTTTGTGTTGATATAATTAGACCCATTTCTATCACAGTTAATCCTGTATGCTCGACAAAAGCTTGTTATACTCAGTGAATTCAGTCTTGAAATTTTTTATCGAAAATGTGCCATTGCTCTACTTAGTCCAATCAGGTTTTTTATTCTTCGAATAAGTGAATATTCCATAACAAATAGAACCAGTAATACGAAATTGTCGTTCTCGACTCCAATGCTTCTTGACAACATTTTCATAAGTCGCCAACTGGCAGTTTATTTACAGCCGTATGCATAGTCGATCGCCAGCGATTCATTTCGGCGTATCGCCAGCGATTCGCTGGCGATCCGCCGGCGAAAGCCCAAAAAGCTGGCGACTAGCCGGAGATTGTCACCGGAATGTCATTTCACGCAAGTTTTCATGTTCTTTTATAGGGACAAATTTGATATTCGTTCATTATTTTTTGAGGTTTAAGAAATGAATAATGAATAAAATGCGAGAGATACCGGTGATAATCTCTATAAAAGAAAATAAAAACTTGCGTGAAATGACATTCCGGTGACAATCTCCGGCGTCGCCAGCTTTTTGGGCTTTCGCCGGCGGATCGCCAGCGAATCGCTGGCGATACGCCGAAATGAATATCTGGCGAGTCGCTGGCGATCGACTATGCATACGGCTGTTAGAGTCTCCATTAGTGTACTATTTTGATTGTCAAATAAAATGTTCATAGCAACTTTTTCAGCATCAGTTGTGAGGGTGATTGATTCGCTTGCAATCGGATCATATCTTCCAACCCTGTACCTAAATTCAATGTCGAAAATAAGTGGAAAAACTAATCAAAAAGAATAGTATTATGTATTTCTGATGGTTACTAATGTTTCACTCAAATGTGTTTCACAACAGCGGAATTTGGTAAGCTGAATTGTATGAGTTTTTTTTATTTTTTCCATTGATGAATCGGAGATATAATTGAAGTGTTTGTCAAACTAAATATTTGATTCCACATAGCACTTGTGCTGTATAAGTGGTGCCGGTTCGTATTCTTGTAACGCACGTAACTCTTTTTTCCACGGGCACTCTGTATCACATCACTTCGTCTAAATAATAATAAAATAAAACATTATAATGAAGCATTAAAAATACGAAATTGGGGTCTATGTCAAATTTGAGGTTAGATTCCATGAGACATACCTGTAGCAATACAGCAGTACAGTAATGGAATGTTAACATTTTTCTCCTAAAGTAGCCTTACAAGTACACTTGCAGTTTAAAATCTTTCCAGTCGAATTGATAACAATGTTTGTTTCATGAGGTTTCTCTCTTAAATATGACGTTTGCAAACAGAATGCTTTCATATGAGTATCAGAGCCACTACTTATTTCGTTAAATTTAATATATTTTATAAGGTGTTCCGCTTGTAATTCTTTTTCACCCTCTACAAAACATCTCTGAGAGAGATTTTTCCCATGTGTTCACAAATTGCTTCTAACGTTAATAACATTTTTTTTTTCAAACTGACTACCTATCACAGTGTTTCTGTACGTTATTGCAACTTGCGTCCACCATGTTGTGACGTGATTGATTCGGGTCCTCCCAGACGTCAGATCCCAATAACTCGAATATGAAGAATTAAAAAAAAATGACTACGCCACTGGATTCTTAACAAAAGAGTGCCCTTTTGTTTATAACTCGAAAACAAAAGACAATACCCAATTTTTGAAAATGCCATTAAGTTTTTCTCAAAAAAAGAGATTAATACATCGAAATTTGCCCACCCTGGCCTTGTTTAGAACCGTCAGTGCCGTCACTTTTAGTTCTTCTATAATCTTTAAACTAGTAAAAGAGTAATCTAAATAAGTATTTGTCGGATTTTATTTATTTTATTATTTTACTAAATTTCTCTATGTAGTTAAGTTTAAAAAATAGTTTTGAAACCCTCTTTAGGATCATAAATTAGTTTGGTGTACATACTTTGATTATACATTTTTTATTGTCAATCAAAAACCAATACCGTCCAAGACGTTTCATTAGCAACTCTTATGTAATTTCTACTTTCCTTTTTTTTGTCAGCACAACTCTTTTTCAACTCCCGATACTTTTATTTCATCCGAAACAATGAAGAATAGAAAAGTTTCCCACTTAACCTAACTTCAATTTACTTTCCCTTTTTTCTCGAGATTTAATTTAGTCTTTCTATATAGGTCCATGCGATCAATTAGGAAACTTATGTTTAGTCTTTCTTCGGCTAGCCGTAATTGCCACTCGTAATTTCCGAAAAGTAAAACTTAGTTTTTCCGATAACTGCTTTTCGGAGTTATGATATTACATCGATACTTCTACCGATAGCCGATCTCGGCTAACGGACAAAGTTTCGTACAAATTTTATTATACCCATGCCAATCCCGTCTGTCCGCCGTCTAAACAGGCGAAATTAAAGCAAATATTTATGCTGTTTTGTCAATTAGTCAAGATTTCACCAGCCGTTTCGATTCGACAGCAGAAATTAACATAACGAGCCATCGAGAAAAATCATAATCGGAGTTTGCTGTGAAATTTAAATTTTAACTTTCATATTTTAACCTTTTAATTCAATCTATTCGCTCCGTGCGCGACAGCAGCGCCAATTCGTTTTGATACTAATGGACTATTTCTGCGTACACTGACAAATGCAACTTTTAATAGAATTCGTAATTAAAAAGTATATATGGTAGTTTCAATAAAAGTATATGGATTTGTAAAACATGTAAAACATTAATTTATTATTATTATATATTTTTATCGCTTAAATTAAAGAAAATTATGTATAATCGATAAAAATCAATAATAAAATATAGGCAGGCAACAGTATTTACTGGAAAATGTATGAGAAGTTGCCTACGTCTAATAAGTTTTCATTGAAGAATTAGTCTATTCTGTCAAAATAAAAAAATACCATTTAATAATTGGGCATTCCAAACTGAATGCCTACCAGTGGGCTTTGACGGGTTATGATATTGCAAAATTATGGCAACCCTGTAGACCTGGTGATTGACAAGGTCAATGAAATAGATAGTTACATAGATTGATTATCCATATTTTTCAAAATAAACATAAGCGTATGCCTTGAAGTAAAAATGTAAGCAATTTTTTTTTTTAATATCTAAAGGCTAAAAATTGGTTTTAAAACACATTTTTGCTAAACCGATTCAAATTAATAAATATTTGCCAGGCAATATGGCCGCTCGTAAACGACCAGCTTTGAGCAATCTATATAACTAT